ACGTCTGATCGATTACACAAACTTAATTAATCCCAATAGGAATGATATACTCAATTCGGGTAAAACTCATATATTCTATATATGCACGGGAATTATCTGATATATATACCCATACCATGCCATAGTTGATTGGTAAAGCTCGCTTTACATTATAATTTTGGGTCTAGTACACGTGAGCCATTCACTATTACCTGATAGAGAGAGAGAGAGAGAGAGGGAGGCATAGTTGATTGGCATTAGGTTATGCCAATCTAGAGGAAAAGGTTAAGGGAGAAAAAGATTAAAGTAGATGTAATGGAACAAAAGGCAAAAGTAAGTTGACATGAAAAGAAACCCATATCTTTGATCATGGTTTTAAGAATCTCCCTAGTGCAGTGCTTGATGGTCCTGGCCTGCTGGGTTGTGAAGAGAAGGGGACAATAATTGTGCATCACTTCTGCTGTATTGACTCTTTTGGTTCACCAATGAAAGGCTTGATCCTTCTTACATTCTTGTGAGCTTGGGGCACTCTTTGGCTAAGGCCATGGGGGGAACATGTTCCAATCACTAGTGTAACTTAGAATACATTCTAGCTTACAGAAGCTAGCAGTACTTTCTACTTCTTTGTTGAAACCGATTTTCCCTTTCTTTTTTTTTTAATTTATGAACACTAACATGCATTCTGACCCATGCGTTATGTGTTGGAGTCGTAGAATCAATCTCTCATCATACAATAAAACAATATGAATCTACCCTTCTAAAATTTTATAGTGACAAAAGTATCGTGCATTATATTGTATATGTAGTAGTCTGTCAAAAGACTTTGCGAGGTGAGGAGGTGCTATAACTTCATGTGTAGTGTAACTGGCTATATATGTAGTGTACTCACCCTTAACTATTAAGAAGTCTTTACGGGGGAAACCCAAGAGGAACAAAACTGTGATGGTGTTTGGACATTCAAAATGAACAATACCTTGACAGTTAGAGCGGATCGTTCCAGGTGGAATTAGAGCCAACTCTCCCACCGCCGGTTGGAGGTGGACTCCACATGGGCCTCACAAAGGCGCATGGCCTCGAAAGGGGTGGAGTGTAGTAGCCTTCCAAAAGGCCTTGCAAGGTGGGAAGGTGCTATAGCTTTTTGTGTTGCATCTCACGTCAACTCTAGAGGAAGAGTAACTGGGTTATATATGTGGTGTACTCACCCTTAACCATTAAGAGGTCTTTTCTAGAGGAAATCCCAAAGAAACAAAACCATAATGGTGTATGAGTATCTAAAATGAATAATATTTTGATACTTGGGGTGGGTTGTCCCCGCTTATATGCTTATTATCTTTTGCAGTCACTCAATGTGTAAATTATAAGGGCTTGAGCCTTGAGATTCGTTAACAATGAACCTGCTCACGCAAATAATCTTCAAAAATAATTTAGAAGACAAAACATCTTCTATATCACAATATTTGATATTACTGGCGCAAAGCAAACTGATTGTTTTCGTATTCAAATGCACAATCTCACAGTCTTTGATCCGAAACTTACACCACTTTACTAGGCACTTAGCTCCTTGCATTACTTCTCAGCATTGGCTGCAAATCAAGGTTATCAAAATCCCGATTCTGGTCTCTTGTATAATCCTTAATTCATAAGATCTCGATCCCAAACTTATAGTATCATAGGATCCCAATCCGAGTTATTGTGTTTATTTGTTAGGCACGATTAGTTATTGAGTTGGCCCAATTCATAAATATTATTTAATAGTTAAGAATTCAATACAAAATGAGAATATCTTGTTTAATCTATTCGGGAATTTCGGCGACGAGAAAAGTTATAGAAAGTTTGTTTCGTATACTGAAAGCTCTCTATATTTCATCTCTCTCGTCGAAAAATAACTTTTAGGTTTAATTTTCTCTCTTGGCAAGTGATCATAGTTAGATAGTTTTCCTTTTTTATTTCTTTTTAATAGTCCAGGTTGTTTATTTAACAACCTCTTAACTTTTCAGTCTCTTCTCTGTATCCGTCTTTATCAGATAGTTAAGATTGAAATACTTCAGTTCTACCATTCCTTTTCGCAAAATCCTATAATATTAACAGTCCACCTTTGATTTTTAACCCCCTTCAATACTCAAATTTTAGTTTTTTAACTTTCAATTATATCTATAAGTTTTATGTTTGTCATAACAATTCTATTTGCATATACACTAGGCTGATTTAGTTCTTAAGAATTATGTTTTGCTACATATGTTTTCTCGTCTCATTTTTTCACTTAATAGGAATTTATGATTCTCAATTTAATTCAAGGAATCTCGATTCCGATCCTTTAAGCTCCTCTATTGATCCAAAATAAGATTCTACAAAAACCATAATTGCAATTTACATGATATGAAGCTTTTCTAAATAGAATATCCAACCAAGAACTAGTCCCACTCACACTCAAAAACAGAAAATTTTTAGGATCCAATTGCATTGCATGCATTACAAAGAAACCCCTATGTGTGTCCATAATGAGAGACATTTATTCAAAATACCTCCATTGATGATCATGAGCATTAATGATCAATGGACCCAAAGAATGTTTGAACAAGAGGTCAACGCCATTATAGTGTCCACCTTGCACGTGTACATGGGAGTACAATACTATACAAACATACTGTGCTTTATATTATGGTTCTGTGATTATGGCCCTACACTTCCCCCTTTGGTTCCGGACTTACACAATCAAGGCACTGTTTGTTAAATTAGGGCACTTTCCATGAGTAAAACTGTTATGCACCAAATGTTTTCAATGATGTGGGACAATTATAAGTATTGGATGTTTATCCACAATCAGTGGGATTCATTAATTCAACCTCTTACGTTGATTTAATGTGAGACATCTGATAAAAGATTTGCGACAAGGGATATATTATGATGTCTAAATCCGTATCGTATTGTCTGTTGTAATCTAGATATGTGCGACTTTAAAAAATATTATATAATGAACGTCCAAAATTCACATCTTGCAATGGAAAACACTTCACTAACGTTTCATCAATTGACATGGAATTGGCCATCGCTGGCCACACTCTTAGGGCCACACATCCTATTCTAAAACCCGTTCAAATCAAGTGACGTGAGATTCTAAAAGTTAACTCCAATTACAGTAATTGTTATTGTATGTCGAAACGTACAAGGGTAAATCGATAAAACAAATAAAACAATATATTTCAAACTTGTACACAAACCTCGTGGTGAATTCTCTTTATTGTCAATTGGTATTGAGTTAAATACTTCGGTGTTATATAAGAATTGCACTCATTTGAGCAAGACTCACACAAACTAATTTTCCATTTTTCTTGTGTCATAAGTGCACTTGTGTATTTTGATCTAAAATATTCGACTTATCTCTTTAGGTACGAGTTAGGAGTCGCACGTGTAGACGAGTATTTGAATTTAAATGTCTTACATCGATAAAATAATATGTGAATTTTTTAAGTTTCTTTATTTATTACCAATTGGTATTGATTTTAATGTTTTAGCCTGATATTTCATCATCCTAACAATTAAAATATTGTACGTGCTTGATTCAAATTAAATACTTGGGTTTTTTAATAATGGTTTAGAGATATTGAGAGAAGGAAAAAAAAAAAAAAAAGAAGAAGAAGACGGAAAGAGAGATGACAGCTTTTGCTTTTGAAAGTTGGCTACTTTGATACGTTCAACGGTTGGATTGTCCCTTGAACTATGTAGAGAGAGAGAGAGACATTGTGAGTGGTTTTGGCATCAATAAAGCAATTGGCTCAACTCGAGTAAATTAAAAAAGAAAAAGGTAGGGCATATAATTCACTCAATAAAGATCTCACGGGGAGCCATTGCCATCACCAATCTCGAGCATATAGATCTCGAGATCCTCACCTTTTATATCAGCAAATATATGAAAGTTTTGCACTATCAATAATAAAAATTGTAGGACAATGAAAAAAATAATCGGTATTGTATCGTCATGTATAATTTTTTTTTTTAAAATTTAAATTTTTTTTAGAATTATTTATAATTTTTAGGATTTTTTGCAATTGGAATAGCAACCGGGTATTAATTGAATTCGAAGTATAAAATAAATTTGTAAATTAAATATAAATAATATTATTGTATTTTTTGGCAAATGAGTTGTGGCCCATGGGTTGACTACTTGACTTGTTAGTTTTGGTGGGTTATTGATGAGACAGCCCATGGATAACCCAATAACTCAAAGAATGGAGTCATGGATCATAGTTTTGTTTCGTCAAACACAATATGTTACCTCAATTTTGGTTTGCGAAGACGCCTAACCAAATTCAACAAAAAAAAAGGGTTAAAATTTTATTTTTAAAAAACAAATAACAAGAAATAAAGAATATATTAAATAATCTGATTCGACTAAGGCCCGAATTCTTGACCCGTAACCCACCATGGCACTATGGCAAGTGGAGTAGGACCGATCCGCCCAACTACAGATCCTTATGATATACACCCTCTCACGTATGCGAAAGTAAGACTACGTCGTAATACTAAGAAGCAACTATATAAAGCTCATGAATTCATCCATGCGGATAAAAAGCGATTCCCTGGTAGAAACCAATGCAAGACTTGAATTTTGCTCACCATGATCTGGAAATAACATACTACATGTATTTTATGCATTTTTCTATGTATGTTTCCCCAGGAACTTGGATTTGGGAGACTTGAATAAATGACAAAACTCAGGGAATGTTGGATTCCCACAGTACCCCGAAGCAGCTTAGCAAACCAAAGCAATCCCAACGTTGTACAGACTCTCTCTCTCTCTCTCTCTCTCTATGTGTGTGTGTAAAATTTTGNCAGCTTAGCAAACCAAAGCAATCCCAACGTTGTACAGACTCTCTCTCTCTCTCTCTATGTGTGTGTGTAAAATTTGGTACAATAGATAACTGTGTGACCCACAATAGTAGATAGTTCTTGATTAACAGTCAGCATTGCAAATACTTTGCATTTTTAAATATTGGGAATAGAATAGAAAATTCTAAAGGCACCCTCCTAAACAAATGCATGATTGAGGGAATTTTCTTTTTTCCCATCATCTTTTGAATTTATCTAGATTGGGTTAATTTGGTTATTGCATCTTTATATATTCTTTTCTTCACTTTGTTGAACAAGTGGCAGGCATGTTGGTTCTCACTTTACCACCAAAAACCTCTGTTTTTTTCTAGGGCTCTGACAGAGGCTTCTGAGTGATTGCAGTTGTAGTATGAGAAGCATATGAGGACTAGTGCATTACATAATCAAAACAAATCCAGTTGAAGATTTGGTCTTGTTGAATCCATCAAACTACTCTTTTAACAGCTTGTCTCCAGCTTCCTCTTATTACCTAAATTTCTCTCTCCACATTCTTGATCATTTGCTTCAATGGAAATAAGAGAGGCTGCTGTTTTGGGTTGTGTGGTTTTGTTCAGTTTCTGGGCTTCTACAAGTGCTTTGCTTACCCCTAAAGGTGTCAACCTTGAAGGTAAGTTGATGTCTATTTCAAAGATTGTTGATTTTTATACCTGTTGGTTTTTCAACTTACAAGAAGTGAACCATGAAGTTCTGTAATTTTCTTTTTAAACCCTCACAATTCTTTGCAGTACGTGCTTTGATGGGTATCAAAGATTTGCTGGTTGATCCTCACGGGGTTCTAGAAAAATGGGATGATAATTCTGTTGATCCATGTAGTTGGGCTATGGTCACTTGTTCTGCTGAAAATCTAGTCATTTCCCTGTAAGTGCTTGTATACTTATCACCTCTCTATCAGAGTCTTATGATAGGGAGGGAATTCTTTGGTGGTTTTCTAGCCAAACCACGTATATTTATTTGTTCTGTATTTCTTCTGTGTCTTTCTGTTGATTATTTGTGGTCTGCTTCACAACAGTGTATGAAATAAAACCACAATTAGAAATAGCCTAGGAGAAGTATACTTGTATGAAAGAGTTTTGAAGTTGTTTGAATTGGTGTTGATGCAGAGGAACTCCAAGCCAGAATTTATCTGGTACTCTTTCACCGAGCATCGGAAACTTGACAAATCTCCAGACTGTGTGGGTACCCTACAGAGCATACATAAGATTGATGCCAATGTTTTAATTCTGATGCTCTAGTGAATGTTAATAATGAGTTGTTTTGCAGGCTACTACAGAACAACCACATATCGGGGCCACTTCCCTCTGAGCTTGGGAAGCTTTCAAAACTTAAAACACTTGATCTTTCAAACAACAACTTTACTGGAGAAATTCCCTCTTCTCTAGCCAATTTGAAAAGCCTCCAATATCTGTAAGCAAAAAAAGAAATCCACTCATTATACTGAAGAAATTTAAATTCTTCATTAGTTTTCAAAACTTTTTAGTTAGTAGTCAAAAATTAATGATTGCTTCTNCATTATACTGAAGAAATTTAAATTCTTCATTAGTTTTCAAAACTTTTTAGTTAGTATTCAAAAATTAATGATTGCTTCTTTTTTTTTTTGTTTTTTTTTGAATTGGGAACAGGAGGATAAACAATAACAGCCTGTCTGGAGCAATTCCTTTGTCTTTGGCTAACATGACCCAACTCACCTTTGTGTAAATTTTCTTCAACCTTTATCCATACCAATTCCAATTTGTTAATCTCTCTGCCAAAATCTGTATTTCAAATAGGTTTTGTGGGTTTTGTTTTGTTTTTCAGGGACATGTCTTTCAATAATTTGAGTGGTCCTGTACCTAGGCTTCTTGTTAAAACATTCAAGTAAGTTCCTTCAAATTTTCAACACATCATATTCAATTTTTCCTTTAGATCAGACAGATGATTATAACCAAGAATTATTTCCTTCTCACTGGCGCAGTGTTTTCGGAAACCCAGTGATATGTGCAACTGGGAAAGAGCCCGACTGCAACGGAACAACACCATTACCATTGTCTATCCCCTTGAATTATCCACAAAGTAAGGAATTTGGAAGTACCTTGCACTCATGAGTTTATCTTCATTTGTTCAACCCTTCAAGTTAATTTGTTTCAAAAAACTATGTTGCTTCCAGTTCCATGATTCATTGACTCTAATCAGACTTCAATGCCTCCTATAATTCACCAGTAATATACTGTCATTTTTTCAGATTTTCAACCTTCTGGAACACCTAAAAGTCACAAAGTTGCCTTGGCCTTTGGGACAAGCCTTGGCTGCATCTGCCTCCTGATTGTTGGGTTTGGGTTTCTTCTATGGTGGAGGCAAAGGCACAACCAGCAGATATTCTTGGATGTTAATGGTTAGTATGAAANAGTCACAAAGTTGCCTTGGCCTTTGGGACAAGCCTTGGCTGCATCTGCCTCCTGATAGTTGGGTTTGGGTTTCTTCTATGGTGGAGGCAAAGGCACAACCAGCAGATATTCTTGGATGTTAATGGTTAGTATGAAAAAAAATCAATCAACAAATATAAGTGTTCCAAGCATGAGAAAATTAGCAGATCGACAAGGATATCTGTTTCATAATAACTCTCTCTTCGAATTTTTAGAACCACATCATGAAGAAGTATGCCTTGGAAACTTGAGGAGGTTCCAGTTCAGAGAACTTCAAATTGCCACAAACAACTTCAGCAGTAAGCACATACTAGGGAAGGGTGGCTTTGGAATTGTCTACAAAGGATATCTCCAAGACGGGACCATTGTAGCCGTAAAAAGGCTCAAAGATGGAAATGCAATCGGAGGAGAGATCCAATTTCAGACTGAAGTTGAGATGATCAGCCTAGCAGTGCATAGGAATCTACTCCGTCTATATGGGTTTTGTATGACATCAACAGAAAGGCTTTTGGTATACCCCTACATGTCCAACGGGAGTGTTGCTTTACGTCTCAAAGGTAAAAAAGCACCATCAAACACTGCTACTCTGCTATATTCTCTTACTCATATTGTGCTACCCAATTTTCTGAAAAGTCTACCCAAGTATCCCCATTCATAGCATTAGATATCGTAAGTTATCTCTAACACAACAAATTGGTGCCTAGTTGTCCAAAAAATGTCAAAAATTAAAGGCATAAGGATCTTTCTGATAAAGCACTGCTTTTCCACTTCCGGAAATTCTTCTTGATCTCACTCGAAATTGAAATTTTAAATTTAAATTGCTAAAAAAGAAGCTTGATCACAGGTTGTCCCCTTGTCTCTAGTTTGCTAGTCCAAACATGAAATATGGTTATTGAATTTTACGTTCTTCTTTGTCCATTCTTGCAGCGAAACCAGCTTTGGATTGGGGTACAAGGAAAAGAATCGCGTTGGGTGCTGCAAGGGGTTTACTATACCTGCACGAGCAGTGTGACCCAAAAATAATTCACAGGGATGTTAAGGCAGCAAATATACTGCTTGATGATGACTGTGAGGCTGTGGTGGGAGATTTTGGATTGGCAAAGCTATTGGATCACCGGGATTCACATGTCACAACAGCAGTTCGAGGCACTGTTGGGCATATAGCTCCTGAATATCTCTCCACAGGCCAGTCATCAGAGAAGACAGATGTTTTTGGGTTTGGAATTCTTCTTCTAGAATTGATTACTGGCCAAAGAGCCTTGGAATTTGGGAAAGCTGCAAACCAGAAAGGAGCCATGCTTGATTGGGTGAGCAAAACAGAGATCAACTTGATTATCCTAAATAACTCTTAGGTTGGTTCGGATACCTTATTGCCTGTTGGTTGATGTGGCTTATGTCTACACTGCAGGTCAAGAAAATTCACCAGGAAAAGAAGCTCGATATGCTAGTGGACAAGGACCTGAAGAATAACTATGATCGAATTGAGCTCGAGGAAATGGTACAAGTAGCTCTGTTGTGTACCCAATATCTTCCAAGCCATAGACCCAAGATGTCAGAAGTTGTTCGAATGCTAGAAGGAGATGGACTTGCAGAGAAATGGGAAGCTTCTCAAAGAGCTGAAGCAAACAGGTACAGAGCCAATGAATTCTCGTCGTCAGAACGATATTCTGATCTTACAGATGACTCTTTGTTGCTTGTCCAAGCAATGGAGCTATCAGGACCCAGGTGATAAAATTTTAAGAGAAGGAAAGAAGTAAAAGAAGCATGAAGAAGAAGAAGAAGAAGAACCCTGTAACAGAATGTTATAGAAAGTAGTTGTGTGAAATGAATTTCTGTATAATACCATCATATGGGAAGTTCCAAAAGTGGTTTGAATTTCTGACTGTACAGAATCAAATCTGAGAAACTGACATTTAGGTTGCATTTTACATGTCTATTTGTTACTGTTGAGTGAGGATTTTTCTGGGTACAAGCTTGTAAGAATAATGTTCTTGCAAAATGGAATGATATTTTCAATTATCTTTTTTTTTTCTTTTTCCCATAGAATATAGAGAATAATTCTTAAAAGTTTTTTCCAATATTCTTCCCCATGGAAGTGGTATTTTTTGGATTTCTCTTTCATTTCAATTGGAAGGTTTTGTATTGGCTTCATATTACACATCTACATGGCATACATTACCTTTGGACAACAATTTGTTCTTATGGGGCATCTAGCAACAAGAAGATTGTATCGGAAATATCTACAAATCTTGCTGAGTTCAAAGCAAAAGCCGGGTATCGCTTTTTTTATAAAGAATTCATTGACCTATGCTATGTTAGACATTAACTTGGCATTTTCTTACATGAAAGTGGCACACTATCCTCACTTAAACATGCTATATATATAAACTGATACACTTAAACATGTTAGTTCTCAACCCGTGAAAAACATCGAACTCTCCTTGGACCATAACGGGAGCCTCGCGCCCTTGGCTGTCAATCAGTGAAAAACATGTTAGAAATACGCAAGTGTAGTTTGGCCTTCACTGAGGATTCGGGGAATTTATTACCAAATACACTGACATGGATGTTGAAGAAAAGCAAGAAAGCAATTTTGGAGACAAATGAAAACAAGCATGACATGTATTGTTAAGTATTTTATTCACAAATTTCCTACTACAAAAGACATGGCTGCTCGATTGTTCACAGGATTGTGGAGATAAAATGCTAACTTAATCGGCAGATGCAGCCTTTGAGCAAGCTTCTGCAATTCTCTCTAAGTGATAACTCCCTCATAGTCTATCTGAACAAATAACTTAATAAACAGCAAACAAAATAAGTGCAATTCATACAACCAAAATTGAAACATTACAAGAAAAGTAGTGATAGACCATGTTTAAATCGCCGGCGTTTAGGGGAAACACCGTTGATGTTTGATAATTACTGGCGTTTATTAAATGCCACTAATTATTGGCTAATTTAAGTTAAGTAATAAATTAGCACTAATAAATGCCACTATTTTCGGCATTTAATAAACATCAAAAAATTAGTGGCTTTTATTAAACGCCACTAATTTCCTAATTTAAATTCCCCTTTTACTTTTCCTAACCTCCGACGGATTAACATTTTATTTACCTTTTCTCCAAATCAATCGACTTCCTCATTTTAACCTACCCGACACACTCTCTCCCTCGTCGACACCCTCTCTCTCTCTCTCTCCGACGCCCTCTTTGCCCCAAATCAATTATCGCTGCCTCAAAGAGAACAGAGATGAAGTAAAGTGATTTTCTCTCCCAAATCAAGATTCCCGACGGTAGAATAAACGACCCTTGGAACAAACATTGTGTTTAGCTTTTAATGGTGTTTTGAGTGTTCTTTGCCGGTGTTTAGAGTGTTATTTGCCAGTGTTTATAAAAAAACGCCGGCGTTTTTGAAAATTCTTGTATTGAAAAATTATTACAAGTAGCTCTCTAACAACCCATCTAAAGAAGGACACAGCTAGATATCTTTATAGCTCTACATTATCTTCTATAAGCAGCCGTGATATTGCAGGACTAGTTGGAACATTCAAATTCTTGAGGATTAATGGATCTTTTGGATTACAATTTCTGTAATTTATATAACTAACAGCATTCTACAATAAAGAACTAACAGAGAAGAATGAAAAAAACAAATTGCACAAGAAAAGAATTTACATAAAAACTGTAATCTATACTTGATCTTGAATGAATACAATTTCAGCTTGTGCAGAAGCTCGTCGAAACCTCACCAACTCTATCAACATATTCAATTTTCCACTCGTAACATATACGCTTGGAGTGATGCTCATTATGTCCAGCATCGGTGACTTTCCAAGTAAAAATTTGATAAAGCCCATTTCATGTGGCACGCCAGACATATCAGTCATCTTCACAGTTTTCAGTCGATTCAATGTGTAATCAGAAGGGCATTCTTTCTCCCAGAAATCCAAATCAGGAGCTTCTATTGCAACACTTGCATTGGAGGAACCCTATAGAAACCAAAGGGGGAAAAGACAAGTGACACCATTACTAGAAGTATGAATCTCGGGTACGATTATGGTGCTAGAAACATGTACCTTTCACATGTTTAAGAATACTCACCGAGATTTGAAGTTCTTGTAAATTAGGAGAGCTCACAATCAAGCGAAGAACAACCAATACCTCTTTCATGTCTTCAAAACTCACTTGATACAATTCAATGATCTTTAAGTGGCTATAAGTAATTGGGATAATTCCAAGGTCATTTCCTATACTCAAATACTTGAAATAGAAGGAAAAATATAAGAAAATAGAAGTCTCCTAGCTAATTACCTACACCTACTTCCACCAAAGAAAGAGAGAATTAAAAAAGACAACAAATTTCTCCCAATTTCTTAACTTAGAGAAAGGAATACAGATAAAACATCTTACCTTTGTGAAGTAGATGTGCCCAATGAGCCTCTCAAGACATGGTACACCACCAAGAAACTTGTCAAAATTGCAACTTGAGCTTTGCTCAAAGTGTTCTGCAATATCGTCAGTCATATACATAGCAACAGAAATAGCAACCAAAAGTGGGGTATTCTCGAGAATAATGTCTTTGAATTCACCTTCCAAAATTAAGTACTTGAGATTTGGAGCACGGACAGTGAGAGCTAAACTATCGAAGTATGACAAAGTTAAACTCTCAAGAAGAGGACAACTTGAAATAAGACTTTCAATTACATCAGGGGCAACCAAAACTTGCTGAAGATTGAGGTACCTCAAACATAAAAATCCTTTAAAACTCAGAGGAGGGTCCAGTTCACATCGAACTAGCTCTAAACGAGTCAATTTTCGACAGGAAAAAAGACAAGAAGGTGCCCTAAACCACTCACCTTCACCTAATTCAAGAATCAATTCTTTAATATCTTTCCGAGAAAGAAAAAGCAGCCATTGATCTATATCAGGAGAGCTGTGCGAGAATGAAGTAGATAGTGCAAACTGGTGAATAGGTCCATCATGAAGAAAAAGAAATCGAGTGACAAACTTTACAAGGTTGTTCTCGGCATTAGCGCTGTCATTAGAGAGAGACACACATTTGTCATCAAATACAAGTTGCGTAAGGGTAGCCCATCTATACCTCCATTTACTTGACAAAATGCTGGTTCTCACAGCATCCCCTATTGACAACTTTGTAAGGATTGTTTCTATGATGCTTAGAGGCAGATCACTTATCATATCTCGCCCCAAAACATTGTCCATTTGCAATTTTCTGCTAAAAGGCCTGTGAAACAATAAAATCCAACCTATGAACACCAACCAAAAAACCAACACAAAATTTTGTTTTTGCTCATTCAAAATTTTACATCAGAATCTAGAATTGAACCAAAACCATGGCATTCTCGAAGTGCACCATCGGATTGGGAACTCAATAAAATGCAGGAAAATTGCATTGAAGTTTTGAATCTGAGAAATTCAATTTTGGGGCATTAGAATGCCCAAAAATTTAACTTTGCCAAGCTTGATAAAACAAATTGCATTCTTAGTGCTGATTTTTTCTAACAAAAATCAAAAAATACGAAATTTTTTTATCTAATCACCATTCAATTTCCTCAAAAATTTCAGCAACCAAACAGAGGCCTAATGAATTTCGTTCCTCATCTCACAACCACCAATCAATCAATTATTTTCCTTCGAATTTAAGCAGAAACCCATTTAAAAACTTGGTAAAATGATTAAACCCACAAAAAACAAATGATCAAACAAGATGTATACAACAGTACAAGGAGAAAAACATAGTACCATACTGGAAAACAAGGAATTATATAACGAGGGCAAAAAGTACAACTACCTGAGACTTAAATGGACAGACTATTTGGTTGTTTCTATCTTCATGGTCTTCCTTTTCTTGGGGCATGGCTCCTCTGCGTTTCACAGCATGGACCCATAAAATTGGCTTGCCAGCATCCAAACGACAACGCTCCATGGTAAACTCTTCCAACGACGCCGTTTGCAACCCTTCGCAGCAATAAACTATTTGAAAACCCCTTAGCCTATTAAATTAAGGGAAAATTTCAGTTACATCCCTTCTAATTTATCATATATTTAAAGATACCCTCTTTATTTTTAAAACATTTATTGACACCTCTTGTCATATGAAAGGTATTAACTATAATATAATTTTACTAAATTGCCCAAAATATATTGTATCAAAAACTCCATCTACGCCCCTCTAGATAGACATATTTCAATGAGACCTCCTCTATTTTCTAAATTTTCTTACATATTAAAATTCAGGTTAATTAAAATTTAATTTGAATTAATTAAAATTTATTTTTTATGTATTAAAATTCAAGTAGATTAAAAATTATATTTTTTTATGTATTAAAATTTAAGTCAATTAAAATTCTATTCGAGCTGATTAAAATGATTTTTAATTGATTTGAATCAAATTTTAATCAACTCACATTGAATTTTAATCAGTCAAAATTTTGATACATAAAAAAATAAAAATTTTAATTGACTCAAATTTTAATATATAAAAAAAATTAATCAACTTGAATTGAATTTTAATTAACATGATTTTAATAAGTAAAAAAAAATAAAATTTTTAATCAATTCAAAATAAATTTTAATTGACGCTAACTCAACTAGAGCTCAAATCGACTCGAATTTTAAGATGTAAAAAAAGAATTTTAATAGTATCAAATTTTAATATGTAAAAAATAAAATTTAATCATTTCGAATTAAATTTTAATCGGCTTAAATTTTAATATGAATAAAAATAAATTTTAATCTGGTCAAATTTTAATATGCAGAAAAATAAATTTTACTTAACTTAAATTTTATATAGAAATATTATTTGGGGTTTATGTAAGGGCAATTTTGATATTTTTGATGAAATTTTTATGTTAAAAATAGTAATTTAATAGTAAAAGATGTCAGTGATGTTTAAATATAAATTAGATGGGGAGTTAATGATATTTTGAATGAATAATAGATGAATGTCTTTGCAAATGTGATAAACTAGAAGGGACACAGCTGAATTTCCCATTAATTAACAAATCGCTCCATACGCTATCTTCGTCTTCCCACAAAAAATCTGATCCAAAACTTCGCCTTCCACCCATGCTATTGAAACTTCGACAGCTCGCTGCTTACATTCCGGTGTCGGCAGTGGTCAACTTCTGTTCAATTTATTTTTTTACCTAGGTTTGATTGTTCGATTTCAAACTCAAAGTCTAAAATTTTTAAAAGTTTAGGGCAATAATTTTTTATTACAGTAAGTCACATTCTCCATCCATTCCTTTTTCTCCCAGATTTGGATGATGCAAATAGATTTTGATTCTCCGTGTTTGAGTTTATGGATTATTGACTCTAAGTTGCACAGATTTGAGCACAACGACAGACTGTTTTGGGGCGAGAGAATACATTGGAGGGTTGGGTAAAGCTAAAACATTTGTTTATGGTGGGAAACAGGCCGAGAGGCTTTCGAATAGTTTATTGTTGTGAAGGATTGCTAACAGCGTCGTTGGAAGAGTTTATCATGGAGCGGTGTCTTTCCCAGAGCAAACGTGACCTCGGTGTCAAGGAGACGTGTCTTTATTAAAATTAAAGTGTTCTTTCGGCATCGAGGACATGTGATACTATCTACCCTTTTCTCAAANGGCCGAGAGGCTTTCGAATAGTTTATTGTTGTGAAGGATTGCTAACAGCGTCGTTGCAAGAGTTTATCATGGAGCGGTGTCTTTCCCAGAGCAAACGTGACCTCGGTGTGAAGGAGACGTGTCTTCATTAAAATTAAAGTGTTCTTTCGGCGTCGAGGACATGTGTTACTATCTACCCTTTTCTCAAAAGTGTCCCATCATCTTTACTACTCGGCAAAAGAGGCCCAAGACACCAACTGAGGTTGCCAAAATTTTGACAAGGTAAATTGAACTCATCAACTAGAGTACTATAAATCATTTTGCACCTACTACGTTGCATCCAACATTATACACTTTATAAAGCAAACTAATTTACAGAATACCCAGTACAAAGAACACTTAGCATAGATAATTCAGTTTTTCAGTATGTATATGAAAAATAGATAAGCCTGAAAAAATAAAGGTAATAAAAAAAATTCAGTTTTGCCAAATCATAATTGGCTCAATTTATATCCGTTTCATTTATAATTTTATNGTACAAAGAACACTTAGCATAGATAATTCAGTTTTTCAGTATGTATATGAAAAATATATAAGCCTGAAAAAATAAAGGTAATAAAAAAAATTCAGTTTTGCCAAATCATAATTGGCTCAATTTATATCCGTTCCATTTATAATTTTGTATAGTTAAATTGGTACTATATATAAGCCATGTTTAATAGATTATTTTGTGTTTAGACGGATTTATGTTGACACGTTTATATGAGGGACTTAACAAGTTTATTTATTTATCACCCGTAATTAATTTTTTTCCGTATCTACTAAGGCTAAACCCAAGTTTGTTATTTTCGTATTGATTTCTCATTGGGTTTGCACTTTGTACCTAAAATTACCTTAAAATTAGAGACCCTAATTTTTTTTAAGACACTACATTTTTTAAAGTAATTCTAAAATTTTTCTTTAGGCCCCCAAACATATTGGGGCCCTAGGCTGTGGCCTTAATGGCTACGGTCATACTTTTAAGAAACATTTTGTCGATTTTTTGATACAATAAATGTGCAATTCCTCTGAAAACAAAGCCAGTACTTTGTCCCGTATGTTTTGTTTTAGCTTTGCTTCTGTTTTGAATGCCTCATCTGACCGACTCTTGCAGGTGTTCCAATCCATTTCTATAGAGCAAATGAGAGGCTCGCAGAGCTTTCTCTCCTAGTAAAAAGAAAGACTGGGGCTTTGATCCCAAACATCTTCTTACTGCAAGCACAAACAAAAAATTGCACCCCTTTATTTATAAGATAGGAAAAATTAAGGCCTTCGATTGTTATTTGTTGTGTGGATTTCTTTATTATTTTGTTTCCAATCAAAAAAAAATATTCGATTCATTATTTGGTTTCAAAATATCAAATTGGTCGTCAAAAGTACAAACATTGCAATCTTTATATTAGGATTTCTTCCTCAAGGTTGTAATTTAGCTTAAATAATAGGGCATGGATTTCTTTAGTGAATGTGGTTTTCAATAACCCAATTTTATTTTTTATTTTGTATGTAATTTGCAATGGGTTAATTTTTTGTGGTTGGTTTAATAATATTTGACCGGATATTGATACATATTTGAGGCAATTAGCTTTATGTGAATACATTATAAATGTGTACACCACAAGTGTCATTGACCTAATTAGCTGTCGAACTCGTTTTTTTAAATGAACTAAAAAATTTATTCAAGTTTGATTCGTTTAACAAACAAGCTGAGCTCGAATAATTTGTCTATTTTATATATAAACGAGTCGAGTTTTAGACTAGTTTTTTTAAACAAGCCTAAAAAATTATTTAAATTTGGCTTGAGAAGGTTGCGGGGCCGGTTCTTCCGCATTATCGACAAATCAATCTTCCACTAGTGTGTGTGGTGGGTTGGGTTATAGTGTTGAGGGAGGCAAAAAGAGAAGGATATTTGCTATCGGAAACTATATTAATCAACGGCTTTAGGTCAAATGGTGGGATTGCTTATTTTTCAACACTACTGCTAAAAAACAACTAATAGTTAACAGTATATTTGAAATGCTAAATGTATTGGGGATTTTGACATGGCAAATTAGACTCAACAACTAAAGTAGTATAAATTATAATTTTTAATTTATTAATTTACAATTTATAAAAAATATGATCGATATAAAAATTATAACTTTCAAAGATTAAGTTATAACTTTTAAGGAAAACCCATAATTGATTATGAATGTATCATAGGCTTCCGTCGATCAATTATAACTTATTTTTTTAAATATATAATTTTACCATAAAAATTTATAATTTTTAATACGATACTTAAAAATAAATGGATACCTTAAACTTTCCGTTGATCTATTTTATCAAATCCCAACAGCTTTGTTGAGTGGCACAGAAATCACAAAAGATAGTCTTGAACAAAGTGAACATTGATCACAGGTAGGAATTATTAATTCTTTTTCTAATAAGACAGGTAAGAATCTATATAATTATAATATAAAACAATACAAACTTCAATAAGTTCATCCGATAATTTCAAATAAACTCATCCAACGATCACTAACATTCTTCTCAAAACCATTTACATTAAATTTTCCTTCCTTCAAATCTATCACTTCTCACTTATCTCACAATTTTATTAAGTTTACGTTACACTGTGTTTTCAGACACGAGTTATCTCTAATTTATCTGACAGTTGCAAATAAACTCGTCCAACGGACACCAATATCACTCTTAAAATAATTCGCATTATACCGTACTTTCAGGCACAAGTTAACTCGAGTTATAAATAAATCCAAAAGAAGATGACACCAAATTAAAAAAAAAAATTTGATGTCTTTTATTCTAAACCATCTATATCTATAATTTATAATATAAAACAAGATAAACTTCAATAAACTCGTTTGATAGTCTTAAATAAACTCATCCAACGGCCATCAATATCTCTCTCAAAATTATTCACCTTACACCTAAAGGCACGGATTAACCCTAATTATAAATAAAACCAAAAGGAAGATGGCACCAAATTAATAAAAAAATTATAAAATTTGATATCTTATATTCTAAACAATAAGCTATATGATCAAAGATGCAAAGACATGATAATAATACAAATTTTTGCAAAACGCCAATTGAAACAAGAGCTAACAACACATGCACACTTAAATCAACAGTCGCAAATTAAAATCTTCACTGCAGACGCAAAAATTGTGCTGGAATTAGCAACTCTCTCCTAACTCCACCAGTGCACTCATTTCCATAGCCGATTGCAAGTTCGGATAAATAAGGAGCTTTGTGTTAGGTACACTCATCTAACCAAACACGAATTAGTAACTCTCCCCTGTAAAAAGGCTAGATGGAAGCATTGTCCACAGGAACAACAAAGAGTAAGAAAATTTGCTGAAGGAGCAGAAGACATTACATGACTCAATCGACATCATCATGCTCACATATACATAGGTAGATACATCGGATCATAATATGGGCTCAGTGTTTTATACAAGAATTAACAACGCAGGCATACTCTAATCAGCTTAGTCTCAAATTAACATCTCAACGCATGATTTAAATTTGTGCTACAATTAGTAATTTTCTCATGCATCAATATGGATTTAAAGTATAANAAACACGAATTAGTAACTCTCCCCTGTAAAAAGGCTAGATGGAAGCATTGTCCACAAGAACAACAAAGAGTAAGAAAATTAGCTGAAGGAGCAGAAGACATTACATGACTCAATCGACATCATCATGCTCACATATACATGTTTGACATCATCATGCTCACATATACATCTTTCACATATACATCTTTGACATTAGTAATTTTCTCATGCATCAATATGGATTTAAAGTATAAAAAAAAACCATATGGAACCCTTGTCCATCAGAAACACATGAGCAACAAAAATTTGTTAAAGCAGCAAATGCATCTTTGACAAAACTGAATGAGAAGCTTGGAAGCATTTATTTGCCTCCAGTTTCTCTAACCATCGATCGATATGATCCATGAATAGTCTTTCCTGTGGGAAAAGGGTACTACTGCAAGCCATTTGGTGGGATCCAATGAGGGAAAAAACTATAAAGATAAAGTATCAAAGATGTAAAAATTCAAAAGGAAGGCCCTTGCATATATACCCAAAAGTATAAAATGAGCCCTCAAAGTCCAGACAAAACAGTATTGTCATAATCTATATTGCCAAACAAACACCAACTAAATAGNCAATCGATATGATCCATGAATAGTCTTTCCTGTGGGAAAAGGGTACTACTGCAAGCCATTTGGTGGGATCCAATGAGGGAAAAAACTATAAAGATAAAGTATCAAAGATGTAAAAATTCAAAAGGAAGGCCCTTGCATATATACCCAAAAGTATAAAATGAGCCCTCTAAGTCCAGACAAAACAGTATTGTCATAATCTATATTGCCAAACAAACACCAACTAAATAGCGTCACCATAACATGTTTTCCTCTATATTTTTCTTGAAATTGGACAAAAGATTCTCATACCATGAGCCAGAGCCTGCTACAATAGTTGCTCTCGATATAGCCCGCAAAAACACCAAAGAGATGACACGTAATCCCACTGTACCTGTGAAAGCCAAAGGCCACAAAATGGCTAGAACCCGAACACTATACTTGTTTTTTACCACGGTCTTTGAAAAGAACTTCTGCATCAGCAGACGCTCGTCGAAATTGNCTATATTTTTCTTGAAATTGGACAAAAGATTCTCATACCATGAGCCAGAGCCTGCTACAATAGTTGCTCTCGATATAGCCCGCAAAAACACCAAAGAGATGACACGTAATCCCACTGTACCTGTGAAAGCCAAAGGCCACAAAATGGTTAGAACCCGAACACTATACTTGTTTTTTACCAGTCTTTGAAAAGAACTTCTGCATCAGCAGACGCTCGTCGAAATTGTGTTATCACTTTCAACAAGTTCAATCCTTCATCAGCCTTCATTGATTTGGGCTCGAGTAGCATTGTCTCTAGCACTGGTGATTTGGCTAATAGAAGCTTAATAAACTCCAATTGAGCCCTTGTGTCAGAGACAACTTGCATATTCACTTTCTGAAGTTTCTCCAAAACTATATCTGAGTGGTGTTGCCTTCCCAAAAATTCTGAAACACCAATACCACCACAGATGTCGGGACATGCCTACAAAGAATTTGATGAAGCCATCTCAAATTAAATGTTCCAGACTTCCAGAGCTTATTAACGCAATATAATATTCATCCCACGTTACTCACCTCAATAGTAATTTTTTGTAAGGTGGGGGAACTTCTCATCAAACAAAGAGTGCAAGAGACCTCATCCAGTTGCTCAAAACATATTTCATACAAAGTAAGAATTTTGAGGTTGATTAAAGTAGATGAAAGCTTATTAGGTACACCACCTACAGCCAAGGACTTAAAAAGCAAAAGCAGGATTACATAAACATAGTTTGCTTAACACACGAGATAAAGCTGAAAGCCATGAAACAACATTTACCTTGATGAAATAATAGTCCATATGCACATTCTCAATAGCAGGTAGGCTATCAAAAAGATTGATCAATTAGGTGTTTCTTCTTCATCTAAAGGTACATTGTCCACAGGATTTTCTGTATATATTTCAACTTCTGCAAGAAGTGGAGCGTTTTTGAACCATATGGATTTTAAGATGCCCTGAAAGAAGAAGAATTTGAGATTGGGAGCATTGATTTCAAGGTAGTTGATGCTGTCAGAAATTTCCAAAGTCAATTTCAGAGTAAATTGCTCAAGTAGCGGGCAATTGGAGATTAAGCTTTCAATAATTTCTCTACCAACATTGACTTCACAAAACTTTAAACTGGTCAGCCTACTAAATCCTTTAAAGCTTGGTGAAGGCTTAAATACACAAAAATGAAGATCTAAATATTTCATTTGTATACAGGAAAAGAAGGCTGCGGGTAATTTATAGGGCTCACTTTCCCGCATTTGAAGGGTGAAATCCTCGATTCCATTCCTCAACAGGAAAAGTATCAATTGGTCAATCTCATAAGAACTTTCCAATCCAGGAATAGAGAGGGTGAACTTCAGTATTGGTCCGTGGTGAAGTAGCAGAACTTGATAGATGGTCTCCGCAAGTTTAGTTTTAGCTCCATGTTGGTTTTCCACTGATTCTTGGCACAGTGTATCATCAAATACAATTTCTGGAAGTTTGGCCCAGATATACCTCCATTTCCTTGACAAAATACTAGTCCTTACCGCATCTCGGATTGGCAAACGCATTAGGATGGTTTCTATTACATTGCCAGGAAGGTTACTGATCATATCAGAAGGCCGCCTGCAACTACTTGCCATTATGATGATAGCTGACAACTCTTGGAAAAATCAAATAACAAGGCAATTATACCCCACATTGAAAACATCAAATAGGTATTGTGTAAACTGGAAGAACAATAAACCACGATACTCTCACAATACCCTTCAATTTTATGGCTCATCAACCAGGTTAGTCAGCTGGACTATGAAATGAATAGAAATGGTCACATGTGGTTTATTTATAATATCTTTCATGCAATTATAATGACAATTTTCAGGTCATTTCTTTGATCATTGGCTTTGGTATCAACACTTACAAGGGAAACAATTCCTTTATGGTCATAATTCTAAGCCAGCAACATAATATTTCTGTCAATGCACCATGACACTCGCTCACAACACACCTAGACTAAAGCAAAAATTAGTTGCCATACGAAACTAGGTCAAATGGTGAGATTATTTATTCCTAAACTACTGCTATAAAGCCTAGTAAATGGCTAACAGTATATTTGAATTGCTAAACGTAAATGGAATTGAATTCTGGAGTCCAATAAGCAATGGCCCCAATTTGCCCCTCGACCAAGAGGCCCAAGTCAACAAGCGAGGATGTCGAGATTTTGACATGGCAAATTAAACTCAGAAACTAAAATAGTATAAATCAATTGCACCACTATGTTTCATAGAGAAGTTAACTCTTTCTAATGCAAACTAATTCCAAGTATTCTTATTGCTACGACATACATCCAACAAGATATCCCATATGGTAACAGGTACATCCATAAGTGTAAAGATATCAAAAAATCAATCTAACCACATTAACTCAATTTTTTTCAAAGTAAATTTATGTTCATTGCCAATCACCTGCTTCTGAACCGCCTTTCTTCGTCTTAGTATGGCCTTCACATCATTACGTAAAACCTAGAAATCTTGTGGACTGTTATATTTGACCAATTGCACAGAAGGCAAATCACTTTGGTAATCAAGGAAGAAGCATTCTTGAACAAATTAAACATCGATAAACAAGTAGGAATCATAACCACTTGCCATAGGCAGTGAAAGATCGTATGGGTTTCTAGAAAAGATGATGAGACTTAAAAGGTCGGAAAAAAAAAAAAACAAATTACATGCCCGAATCTTTCCAAATTGCACTATTTATTTTATTTCATCTCAGAAAATTAGGGTTTTAACAAGACAATCTGAAAGGAAACGAGGAACATAAATTACACAAATGATACAAACAATTGTTCACAAGATTGCAGTTCGAACAACAATTACTACATAAAGATTACTCCCCGGGAAAAGGAATTCATCGAACCGAACTTACTTGGTTGTCACAGATGCTGTGTGGGGATCAATCAATAATAACGTCACTTCATACCAGCTAATACTAGACCTGAGGGTGCATTTGTTCAGCAGGAAAATAGTAAAAAACACAAGTAGGAGAAATTTTTTAAATTTTTTATGTGTTTAATTAGCATGAAAAAAAAAATGATAAAAAAAATATTTTTCGTAATACTTGAATATTTTTGCAAATAATTAATTTTTTTTTTTTTTTGTAAAAACACAAGAAAATACAAAAAAATTGTAATCTATAACTAACTTCTCATTTTATCATTATTTTTTTAAAATATTTTATTAGTTATTAATTTTAAAAAAATTTAATATAAATTTGATTAATCATATAACTTGGCACAAAGACTTTTGTGTTAGTGATGAGTCACTTTTTTAAATTTTTTTAACTTTCAATTATAATTATATTTTTTTTAATTTTTAAACTGATTTAATATAATTAAGAATAATTTAAACAATTATAAATTTTTTTTAAAACTTTCCCGTAAATTTTTAATTTTAACCAAATATATGTATGAAAATATATTTTATATTATTTTTTTTTCTTTCACTTCACTTTTTATCACTTTCACTATCCATTTTTTTTTTTTTTAAATCAAACGGACCCAAGAAAATTTTAGTGCAGATAGAGGACCGGAATGGTTTGGTATAAAGCAATAGACATTTTATTATTGAACTAGATTGTGGATCTACAATTAACCTAATAAATACGGATCGGTCCGAGGCTTGAACCTCACCAGTCACCACCCTTTTCCTGTAAAAATTTAAAATAGTGATCAAATTTTTTTTATATTATAAATTTAATATATTTTTTTGTCAAAAAAATTATTATTTGTATTATAATAATATAATATTATTGTATACCAAAAATTCAATTATGAGTTATGACATATATTTGACTATAAAATTTAATCCGATAAATATATATATTTATATATATATATATATATATATATATATATATATATAAATTAAATACTATTAATAAAAGAATTCAAAAGAACTTAGAAGTTAAATAAATATAAAAAATAAATGAAAGAAAAAAAATTAAAAATCAAACATTGTTAATAAAATAGTCTAAAAGAATTTATAAGTCAAATAAATATAAAAAATAAAAATTGGTTGAAAGTAAGCTGTGGGTATCATTGATTTTAGAAAAATAATTATGGATAAAATAAAAAATTAAAAAATTCACAAATACTAATATTTATAAGAAATATAGATAACACAAATTACAATTATGACTCCTGTAAAACAATGAGGTTTTATTATTTCAAAAATTACAATTCTATAAAATAAATTTTATCTCATTGGATCCAATTGAATCATAAATTCATTTGGCTTCATTGTTTTTTTTTTTTTTTTTTAACTTTTTCTGTACAATAATAAATTCAAACATTAAAAATAGGATATTCAGAATGATAGTGATACACTTTTTTTCAGCCTTAATGAATACATCTTGTAATTAAAAAAACTCATACTAGTATGTATTTTTGGTATATACCCAAAAAGTTGCTAATATAACACTCTAAACAATGTAAAGATAGAATCATATTGAGACTGTATAAGAGTTCATTTGAAAAAAAGAGTCACAACACAGTGGTATAGTATAATCAACTTAGTAACTCTCCTGTTTCAGTATTGATTGAAACAACAAAAATGCTCAAATGGAACCACTGTCCACAGGACCACAAGAACCCCCAAAAAAGTTAGCAAAATTGTTTAAGCCTAGCCTTCTTTTTCAGAGCTCAATGGGAAGAATGGAAGAATTGATTTGCCTCAAGTATCTCTGACCACAGATCGTTGCGATCCATGAACAGTCTTTCCAGATCAGTGAACAGTCTTTCCAGATCAGAAGGGTAGTATCGCAATGAACTTGTGGTATCCAATAAGAAAAACTATGTAGGTAAAACACCCAATTTGTAAAGATCTAAATGTAATATCAAAATGTGAACAAATATTAGGGGGAGGAGTCAATTTCGGGATAGAAAACCCTTAAACAAGAAGATTCCAAGACCACCAACAGCCAATGTTAGAATCAGTGTCTTTCTAACAGGATCAACATCAGCCATTTTGCTTTTCTTGATTGTTCTCGCTTCTCGAGATTTTTCTCCTAAGCTATCACGCAAAAGACTGCTAAGATTGTCTAACTGATGCAGGACTTGACGCTGGCCTCGTGCAATGCCAGATATCTGTTTAAACACAGAGTGGAACAAGTCAGGAAAAGAAAGTAAATTAGCCAACAGGGACAGAATTTAAATCTTCTACCAGATGCATGACAGAATAAAATAACCATAAGCCCTATGTCAAATTATCTTTGCTTAAACTAGGATACAGAGATTATTGGAACATTATAAGAACAATGCATATCCTGACAAGAGCAATTATACCAGAATCCTTGTACCATACAGTCATATCACTAGAGTGGAAGGAGATTTTCTTAAAGATTAAAACCTTCTCTTCTGAAGTTTGAGTTTTACACTTTCCTGAGATTCTATAATAGACTAACTAAATATAATGCTTCACATACCCTTTGTACAAGATCAAGATACAGCCAGTTACTATACATTCTGGATTCAAGGATCGTATAACCTGTGATAACTATTCACCTAAGATACAAAAATATAGTGTTCTTCTTTCTATCTAATTTTGATCAGTAATTCCAGTTATCCGTTTCATCACACCTCTTGCCTTGAACTACCATTTTCTCGAATTTGGATTCTGTACACTACCTAATTTTAGTTGCAACGATATTATTAGCCTAAAATAACATATAACTGAGAATAGCAACACCCTTTCATAAAAATTTACCCCATTAAGAGTTTTCAAGGATATAACTAGACCTTTATTTCAAATCAAAATTTGCCAAAGTGAAAGTATAGGGGAATTAAGCCATTAAAACCTCCTATTAGCTACTCGTCGCTTATTTGCAATATTATGTCATAATTGAAACAAAGTAATGACACGGTTTAATAGGGTTTCCATATGAATTGAAATGCTTAGCAACTTGCATTGTTAGCTTCTTTGTCAAATTCAAGGTGGTTCATTATAGCTGAAGAGACACATTACATCGCTAATGTTTTCAGGGTAAAAGTGTAAGACAAAACAACTTTTTGTCTGTTTGAACACTTGCGTGGCCAAAATTAGTTTTTTTGGCATTTTTCTGGGAACTCATTTCGCTTTTCTGATATTTTCCATCCAGTATTCAATGGATAAAAAAAATTGTCGGCCATTACCTTGAGGATAAAGCTCTTTGCTTCTTCCTCTCACTCTTAGAGGCATGATTATAACATCAACTAAATGAGAGCATCATAAGCTCACATGGAAAAGGAGTAATGAGACTAGTCATGGTACCTCTTCCTGCAAGGGTGACTCCTTTGCTAGCTGGGAGGAAGATGAGGAATTTGGCATTATGGATCCGGTCAAAGAACCGTTGCCTAAACCAGAGATGAAGTAAGAAGTGGGAGCAGATCCATTGCAGACTTCAGCCTGCATAGCCATGTTTTGTTGGCTAGCAGAAACTCTATTGCTGGATAACTTGGCATTTAACTCCTCGATCCCAGATGTAAACTCATCCATTCGATCGTTTAGTGAGGAAATTTGATCCGAGAGCTGGGTAATGGTTCCCTATTATACAGATTCAAATAAAGAAGAATAAGGACAAAAAAGAAAGATAATCAACACAAAAATTGAATAATTATAATCTAGGTTTTACAACAGCATTACAGGAAAAAAAATGAAGCTATAAAAGTATGTTATAATCTTCAACTTAGTGTCAAGTCACCTGGTTTGCTAGTGTTGGGGCTGAATCTATACTCCTGTTATCAATCCTTCGGTTGTTGGCAGCGTATCCAGAATGCTTGGGCATATTTTTGTCCCTTTGTGTTGAATAGGAATGTGAAATACCCGTTTCAGTACACCTCAATCAGGAATAAAGATTGAAAACCATAGGTCCTAAGAAAGCATTATTTAACAATATAGTGGACAACAAATTAGCATCACAATTGTAACATGATGCCAGTATGACGCAGATATCTAAGGCAGACATAAGTCACATAATGTTGGTTTCAAATCTTAACTGGAATCCCCGGCAAAAATAAACCAAATGTGACACCCAACAGTAACAGGATGTCACCCCTACCCAACAGAAGGGTGGACTGTGGAACTGGAGAGAAAGATGAGAGAATTATCAAGTAGCTGACACGCATTAGAGCCTAATCAACTACAACATAATCATTATGTATATACTCATGAATTAAAAGATCCAAATTGACTAATCAAAATCCAACAAATATAATGTTGTTACATTGTCCAAGCCCCACAAAGAACATAGGGCGAACATCTTTTATCCATTTTGTTCCTGATTACAACAGATTCAGGCCTGAAACTGTACCTTCTAAGATTCTTATTTATTATTGCCACCCTCTCTGCAGAGGCTCGAGAAAGTGCTTCTTTGGGACTTGACACCAGATCCTCATCTATGCTTAGCTTTGTCTTTAAATCATCTGGCAGTGCCTGCAGAGTGATTAGATCAGGACTACAAAACCATAAAAGGCATCATCATAAGTACCGGAAATTGTCGTACCATAACCTCATTTACAAGCTTTTCCAGCTGTATTTGTTGTATGTACGTACGAGGAATGTATGAACCTTCCAATCCCAGCTGCTCTGCAACACCTTGTACAACTAGGCGATCTCTTCCTTGTACCTTTTTATCAAAGTAGCACACAAGTAAAAAAAAAAAAAAAAGAAGCATTTTGTAAATCAACACAATATATCACAACTACATAAGAAAGTTTGACACAAAAATGAACCATGAAGTTCTAATCTAGTTGTATATGCTAAACCATTCATTTTCTACATTAGATAAATACCAAGGTTGTCGTTGTGTATTACAGAGAGTGTAGCTTGACACATTGAAATTTGCTGCCAAAAAAAGATGTGTACAGAGATAATCATTAGTCTGATTTTGTATCAACAATGATTTTTGGATGAACAAAGGCCCAGTAAATTGATCTGCTTGTTTTTCCACATCATTGAAGTTTTTTGTAATGCTACTGAGTTTTTTGGATAAGAAAAACTAATACCTTTTGTCATCATCATTGTGCAGATTGCTGTTTGAGAATATTCATAAAATGATTGGCAACAAGTGACAAGATTTACTCTGGATACCGGAATTAAATGACAATATTGTTCATACTTTTTGGGGGAAAAAACAATATTGCTCATAAAATAAGTCTTAAAATCTATACAAAAAACATGAAATATATAATTGCATTTATTTAGTTGATCAAGGTATCGAAAGGAAGGACACGCAACAACACCTCCAATCACAAGACAAGTAAAATATTGGTACACCATACTCCATCTGCACTCAATACCAAAGATATTTCATACTACCTGAACATAATGTCGCTTCAATTGTTCAAGCCAGTCAATTTTCACGCAGACCCTTTCGTCGCTGAATACATGGCTACTTCTTTTCAGAATAGCTGCTACAGTGTAGCCCAAAGCCATCAGCCCACCAAGAAGGCGCACACTGACTTCAAAAGTTATTCTTGGTGATATGACAAAAGGAGAATCTGTAACCCATTCCTAGAATTCAGAGGAATGACCAGTCTCAGACAATACCACTATGCAAAAAACCTTCAAACATTCTACAAGTTAAGCAAAAATCGCAATAAATCCACTTGGTGATACAACAAATTGGTGAATCTACAATCCATTTCAAATGTTCAGAAGAATTAATAGTTTTAAGACATTGAAAATATGCAGAAAAGTTAACCATTTCATTCATTGTGCAAATTTTTAGCAAATCCATAGATCAAAATAAAGACTGGTATCAGGCATAAAACAAGTTACATTGATAGGATCAAAAACAAGAGATATCAGCTACACAAAGAAGAAATCAAAGACTGCAATTTGGAGCCTTCCTGGACATGCTGCTTGATCTGGTAGAAACAAGGAAAGCTAAAAAAGAAAGAACATAAGAAAAGGAATAAGATACATTTCTCATTTTTTATTGTTATTACTCCTCATTTCAGCTAGCACACAGGCAATCTCATCCTCCAAGTGCAGTTCTCGTATATTATACTTATTTAAGACAGAACTACTCCACGTTTTGAAGTTGCGTTCTACCTTTTAGATGCTGAGCAGCGTCCTAAAAAAAAGAACCAAGAAATTTCAGTTTTTTTCATAATTAAAGATTTCTTCAATAAGTACCCTTTATTATTACTAGAACCCACGCGACCACTCTTGCTTCCTTGCAAATATTCAGAACAGTCCCTGACAATCATGGTCTACAGTGCACAAAGTTAGGTATTTACGAGTTCATTATGATCAAGTCACGAAGCAAAAGTATATGCATGAGAATTTAACCAACTCACTCTATTGGTTTCAAAGCGAAACTATATAACAAAAAAATTGCATATTCATATACGTAGCAGGTCAGTGAGATAACATTGTTTGACAGATCTGTTTATTAAACTTATACCCTACACTTGTTACATTGTTCACTTTTATCTTGCTAGATACCTTCACATGCAAATGTTCATCTATCTAGGATATGTCTGCATGAGGAAATAAATGCCTAGTAAAATCTATGCAAGTATAAATAACAAAGCTGATCCAAAGAGATAAAGACGAGATTTGTAAAGAAATTAAGAAAAATAAAGAAAAGTGAGAGGTTGAAGCATCACTGAGTGACAATATCAATAAAGAGTATTGAATTATTGATATAACACCATTGTAGTGGGAAAATTAACATGTCCTACTAGGCCCTAAATTCAATCATTTAGGGTCCCAATTTTCTCCCCTTAAAGTCCTCTTGAACTTCGAGTTGGAAATAAAGCAGTTAGCTTATTGGGCAACCTCACCGACACTTAAGGCACAAATTGTTGAATAAAAGACATACACTTTGGGGGCTTAAGATGAAACACAAAGAGATATCCAATGTGAAAAATAGGACTCTCAAGGCCTCGTAGGATTTTATCCACTTAAATTTCTCTATCCTGTATCATAGTATTTCAACTTCGTCATTTCAGCAGTCATCAAGAAGAGTAAATAAAAAAATTTGGCTTTCCAAAAATTATAAAAATAAATTCACTGCAATTATTCCTATTAGAGGGCTTTGCACACGGTCACCCATTTGAATGTCTCTTACTATTAATAAAGGGCCCTGTAGTGATTATAAAAAAATGAGATAGGAAGAGAGGAGAGATACGTAGGAGTGGGAAAAAACCAAGAGAGAGATAAGAAGTTGAGTGGGGTTAAAAGAAGAGTTATCAGTGGATATTTGAAAAGAAATTAAATGTAATAAGGATATTTCATGAGTGGAGAAAGTTGAGTGGGATTAAAAAGGGAGTTATGGGTAGTTATTTGGGAAGAAATGAAGGGTAGTATTGACATTTCGTGAGCGTACACCAAACCCCTGCTCGCCTTATTAATAGCATAGATGTGTGCATTAGCGGTTATACATAAATATCTCATATCCACTATAAAAGATACACCAATATCATATGCTTCTTCAAACGTTACATTAATGTGAAGGTAGCAGCCATATATATTCAGTACAGGATTTTGACCTAAATTTTTTGTACACGGTGTATAACTTCCATTGTGGGCAAGAAATCCACCCAAAAAATGACAAAAGTTAAGACAATACAAGAACACTCATCGAAGAAAGTTAAATTAAAACTTAGAACATTAAAAACTATCCATCTAGCTACATGCAGCAATTCAATCTAAATTAAGGGCAAAAATGGCACATCATCAAACTCTTTAGCAGCAACAACCCAAAGGGAAGCCATGAAATTTACTTTCTTCCAAAGAAACTCCACATATTATTCCTTCTCATCAAAATTTCTATTATTCAACCATTACACCCAAAGAATTGCCATAGCCACACATTCCCACAAGATAGATGCTCCACATCCCTTCCCAAAAACACCATGATTAATCTCGAATCAAGAGACACAACCCCTTGGAATTACCCAACCCAAGCTAAACTCCCCATAGGCTTCATGAAACAAATTCACATATTATTCTATGAAGATACGCTAGTATTCAGATCAGCAAAGACAATGCAACAAGGAACTTAAAGTTCTGAAAATTTTAACTGCCAATTATTTTCTGAGATGCCAAAAAAGAACAAACCTCAAACATGAGATTGTATTTTCCGTCTTTATTCCGCATCCTCAGGTATGACTGGCATGATTCCGGATCTTCACCTGGTGGTAACAGATAGATATCATACGTTTGTTCCATGGTTTCTAAGTGTTCTGCAAACATGACAGACTTGATTTGATCCACAGTCAGATTCCTCGCAGACTGAAAAAAAGTATCACACAATTGTTATTACAGAATTATGTATTGGCTGATCATTGAGCAAGTCTAGAGACTAAACAAAACTCCTAAACATGAGGGGATTAACCTTTAAAATATACGTAGGAGATTGAAATCCAGTGAAGGGATTAAATTTGTTGATGATTTTTATATGTGCTGTCTGAAGATCAGGCTCGATAAAAGCTTTGTACATTGGATATACCTGCATGAAAGAATGTAGCTAAGACCTTCTGAAGGAGAAACTCATCAGACTTCATGAAAGTTTAGTTATTTATTTATTTTAGATCTTGTGAGTATGTTTAATAGATGATAAATTTAAAAAGAAAAACCGTTTCAGATATCTGGTGGATTATTTCTTCTGGTTCTTGCCCAGCACGTTGTATGTCCCGTAAAACCCGTTTTACAAGATCAAAGTGAACTCCACCTCTAACAGATACTCGAAGATCAAGTAAAGGCCTCAATTTTTCACTCAGAGCATAGATGCCCTCAATAATCACTATACGGGAGCTTGGGACTTCAACTGTCCTGCAACCAGCACATGATGACATGAATTTCAAGTAATAATGATGAATACAAACAGAGGAGTGACAAACCATATGATCATATTCTCAAGGATAAGAATTGACCAATTATTCAAAGAATGAACATTCAAGCATCGGTACAAAAAGAAGAATATGAATCTGGAGTCTTGGGCAAGAAAACAGGTAAGGAAGACTGGAACTCCAAAAACAATAGAGAGTTATCTAACGATAATATATATATAAAATAAAGTAGCTAAATTGTTTGTCTTGAACTTTTCGCGACTCAGAACGTTTGAAGAGATTATTGATCCGACGGTTCTAATATGAAATTCCCTGCCCCCAATTTTTTGAACAAGACTTTCATTACTTTTACAATTCTAAGACTTTATCTCTTCTAACTCTCTCTCTATCTCATACCACACACTAATTAGGTCGTTAATTATGATCCTATATAATTAAAGATTATTTTTTAAAATTTAAATAAACAAATAAACTTTAAATACATTTTTTTTTTGCGTCAAAACAAGTCGAATGACTAATAAAAATACTATAATATTTAAATGGTAAAATAGACGAATAATATATATTTAATTTGTAAATATCTATATACTAAGGAAGCTAGCATTATTTGTCTTGAACTTTTCGTGACCTAGATTGATTGATCAAACGATCAAAACTCCACCTCCAAATTTTTTTTCCGCCCAAAAATTACAAGAATCCTTTCATTTTACTCAATTATTGGTTCGAAGTGATTATGATTAGAATTCAAATTGAGTTAAATTTGATTGTCGAGTATAAAGTATATATTCTTACTTAACCTTAACTTTGTTAAAATTTTATGAGTATTCAAGTTGAAATTAAACTAAAATTGATTGTAAAAATAATAAAGAATAATTAAATTAAAACAAAATTATGATTTCATTGTGAACGGAAATAGATAAGAATTAGTTTGTAAGTTTAAGATACAAGTGTTAATTGAGTCGAATTTAAATTCAATTCTCGGTTTGATGTAATTATGATTAAGACTTGAATTAAGTTGAATTTGACTATCAAATATAAAGTATAAATTCTTGCTTAAACTTAAATTCGATTGAATTTTATGAATATTTAAGTTGAACTCAAATAGAAACTGATTTTAATTTCTCAACAAAATTTTTTACATTTACAAAAATTAGCGCAAAATTTTTGGATGTTTTCCTCACAAAAGTTACACAAACTCATTATAAAAAAAATGTTGCAGAGATAATGTTATGAACTTTTGGTAAAAACCTATAGAAAAATAAATATTTATAATTTTTTGAAATTTGAGATAAAATTTATTAAAAATATTAAAATCGTAGATGTTTGATCAATAATAATTATATTTTCTCAGATTTTTGAATTAATATATCATAATAGTTATAGTGTGACTATCGTTATATAAAGATTTGATTATATATGTTCTGCATACAGGTTGAACAATATCAACTTGATCATTTTATTGTTGAAATTGAATTATATATTGTTTTTATTTATAAACAAATATTTGTAATTTTTTACAAGTAATGTAGTACCTTCAAGCACGGGCAAAAACTAGTATGTATATATAATACAGTTCACCAAGGTTGGAGAAATATCTCTGCATGATCAATGGAAACGAGGTTGAGTAATCTGGTGCAATTTCCTGAGGCAAATATTTTTTAGGAAAAGCACCTCAACTCTACGGGTGACATACAAGATTCACTTAGTTCACCAGGGAAAACAGAACAGAACAATAGTAGATAACCGAGAGACACTTTAGATGCTCCTCATATGGTTAAGATAAGCAGACAAATTAAAAACCAAATCAAAATGTCCTGAGATTCAGTTTCCAGGCAAGCTTTCGTGGATTTAAGCTGAGTTGCTTCTAGATAGAAAAGTTGTCAATTATTTTACATAAACAACCCAAATAGATGGAAAAAAATTCAACCTGTATCCAGTACGGGAACTAGACTTGAAATCATATATCGGAACCTCAACCTGCTTCCCTGCCTTCAGATCGTGGATATTCGTGAGCAAAGTGTCATAATCCGTCAAGCGTGGGTCTGTTTCAACATTGGATCCAATGAAACATTAAATATCTGATATATCACATTTGAACCATTAGCACACGTAAACAAATGTTTTACATTTTCATGGTAAAACAATGACAGGAAGATTCCCTAAAGTACCTTAATTCTTCAGAGTTCAGAATAATAGGCATGGATATATGTAAATATATGTACACCTGCTCACTACTCCCTGACAGGATAAAGATAGTAACCTAATTGTAGTATGTAAAACTTCAAGAAGCCATACAAAGTCCTGCCTTAATGCATGATTTCATTAAAAAAATAGACATTAAGTCATGTATTTATCAAAACAGATGCCGTTTTGCCAGTATTTTTCTTTTGTCTGTCATGCTCAATAATCAAATGACCAGCCAGAATATGCAGCAGAATCAACCAAACAACTTAATCAAGCAATAGTGTTATTCTTCCTGTGATGAAGGCAGGAATAAATCGATCAAATAATCAATTGCAGGCTGTATAGCTAAAATCTCTAATGCACATAACTGAAATCAATAAGACTGTCAGGGCTGAAGATTGTTCAACAAATTTGCAGATGGTAAACAAGGTTTCGTGCACACAAAATCAACCTGACATGGAATGACAATAAGAAGGGACAGAAGCCCTTCGTTCTCCCTCAAAGTGAGGCATAATTGCACGAACTATTGGCGATCTTCGGTGTAAATTCAAAGTAATACTTCTACATGAATAATACCTGAAGATATTAATAAGAAAAAATAATGGAAAAAGTGATTTTATTTTTTTGACGCAGCCTATTTAGTAAATGACCTAACACAGAAGTACATTTTAGTCTCAATCGTTTCATTCTGATCAACATTATTGACTAGAAACTTCTTATCTACAAAGCAAATGAAACTAACCAGCATTGCTGTTCATGTGCCTACCATTGCTACTTTCCAAATAAGTCGAAAGAGGAGTCAGGTAATTAAGATAAAAACCTAAACACATAAATACACTAACGAGGGATTCATTAAAATGCAAAAGACATACCACAATGCTTAATATTGCAAATTCTATTTACATATTTATTGGAAACTAAGTATTACTGAATTGAATTTGGCTGTTAAGAAGGAAAATAAAGATTGACAAGCCTAGAATTAAGAACATCACCTCTCTTCCCACCCTGTCCCTCTTTCCATTTGCTGTTTTCTTAACGGCTAAGATTTTATTATTTTGCAGGATGCTCAAAAGGGAATCCAAGACCAGCTGGACTGGGAGGAGTCTTCAGGAGCTGATTGGCGTTTATGGGAGACTCAATGATAGTAGGAGTATCCAGGCTGAACTGTGGGCCATTTTCAAAGGATTAGAGCTCATACAGAGAAGAGGGATAGGAGCTGTGATGATTGAAACAGACTCTCTCAAAGTTTCCAAACTCCTATCAACAAATGCACAAGGAACTCATCCCAATAGATCCCTTATAGCAAAATGCAAGAACCTGATGGAAGTGAACAATATCCCCATAATACACACACTCAAGGAAGGTAACCAGTGTGCAGATATGTTGGCCAATCTTGGGGTTCAACGACAGGAGGCCATGGTAGAGCTAGAAGAGCCTCCACCACAAGTGGGGAGACTGCTCAATGCAGACTTAACTCGCTTTTTCTAGGAAGTCCATTTAGTAGTTATTTAACTTTCCAATGTACCAAAAGAAAAGATAAGAGAAAAGCAATTCGAACAAAACCTTACCCATCAAAATCAGTTCACAGGATCATCAGAAGGAAAACAATTATAATCTACTTAATATGGATATTAGCCCTAAATATCTTGAGTTATTTTCCATTTCCTTCATGAGAGATGAAATTCCAATCAGAGGAAGGCTTAACCATCTCTAAATCTTCTATATCGTACAAAGGAAAATCAAATCAACCTCAAATATTATAACCCTACAAAGAGGAGAAACAATAAAAACATTGAGAGCTCACATTGGAGGCTTGGACAACAAAGTCACAAATTATCTCACAAGCTGGAAAAGGTTTTCATGCATTGCATTGCGTTGCATCTATGATATAAAGATGCAGGCTGTGTATAGCATACTTGTTGTAATACATAGTAAAGTACCTTAATGAATGAGAATGCCAAAGGCAAATTTCAAATTTATTGCATGCACATAATAATCATAGCTATAAGCCCCTTTTGATTCACATACAACTTTCAAATTTCCAAAAAGCAATTAATTGTTTCCATAACTTGTCTCTTTATAAGTATTGATGCAAGTAAAGAATCTGTATTTTGGTTACTTGTTATGCTTAAAAGATAACATCATCTGTATCCACACAGGACAACAGTTAGAAAGAAAACACTTATAGAGAGTGAAAACTGAAAATCATCAGGAATTCAAAGAAGAGTCCAAAAATAAAAATCCAAATAATGTATTAACATGATTTACCATCAAAGTTTCCATCGATAATTCGACTAGAATCATTGTAGTTGTCCATTGATATGACAGCTATGCTGGGCATAAAGTTAAGTATCTTTTCAGTAAATACACTCTTCCCAGCACCAGAAGGACCAGCTAACCCTACCAATATCAGTCTATCATTCTTTTGGGCTAACAACTGGCATGCGCGGATTACAACAAAGAAACCCTTCTCAAATGACAGAGTGTCTTGGATGGGGACTATCTCATAACTGTTAGAATCTTTTCTCTTAACCAATCGAACTTGATCTTTTAGGAGACCATGTCTTCGTTGAATTGATTCAGCAGTAGACATATCCTCATCCATTGAAATTATGCTGGCTTCCTCTGGGAAAAAAAAGGAAAGGAAGAAACAGCACATGCAACCTCATAAATCATTTTGAACAACTTTAAAACAACAGGAAAGTGATGAGGTGAAAATTAAACAACTAAAGCTGCATAATATTTACTTGTCAAACCAAGATCAAATTTGGGTATGTAGAGCACCAATTGAGGGTATGCATAACATCTAGTAGAAATGAAATTGACCATTGCTTTTTTTACAGCACGATGAGTTGTTCATTGAAGATGGAGATAAAACCATAATCACCAAGAGAAGGAAAATAACTGTTCCATAAACACTACAATTAACCCATCTTGTAAGTTAATGTATAATGCAGTGGACTAATTTAATTTTGATGGCATGACAAAACACCAAGATTACAAAAAAAAAAAAAAAACACTCCAACCATAATACTGAAATGTGGAACCATGTTATTAAAAGCAGCAATCAAGTTAAGCATTTCCTAGATCTATGCTGTCCTTCTAAGATGGCTAGCCTGAAAGAACAATCAAGCAAAGAGAACACATTTATGAGTGATAAGATCATTCCACTAAAACAACCAGACTTATATACATCATAAACTATCACATTTCAAAGGCTTCATGGCCACACCAAATCTGAAGGGAGGCGAGAGACATCAACATTCACCATGTCAACAATGGAAAGAACATAATTGCCGAAAACAAATGATAAAATTTCGTAACTCATACGTTGTTGATCCCTATCGTTACATTCAATCTTGAAATTTGCACAATACCTGATAACTAATGAACACATTTTTTCCCCAAAATCACATACAATGCAGAAATAAAGTACACCAAACTTTAGCAAAGATATCTAAGTCTACAGTTTCAGGTTACCTTAGCGCAAACAATAAATTATTTGACCACCAAACAACACCAGCATTTCAATAGCATAATAACATATCCCCAATCAAATAAAACAAGAAGAAACGACGAACCCAGATGACACTATCAACCCAATATTGATTCTACACAGAGGAAACCAACAAAACATAACTGTAAAAGCGTCCTTGATGCTTGTCTGGATATCACACTGCCATACAAACGGAACGGACTTGAACATACCAAGAACAAAATAGAGATAATGAAAGATTCGCCACAAAACGATGAGAACGAGTAACAAGAATCCAGAAAATAATATGGATCAATTCAAAACAAGAGCAATGCGTATACATAGGAAAGTCACATACCAGCGAGCGAGTTCAGCAGCAAAGCAAACTATAGAAGCCTGATCATTTATGTGTCTATGAATAATCCATGTACTTTTCTACTTTTTCCTCGTTGTTCAAGATTTTATTTCTCCTGGACTAGAAAGGAATTGAATTTTCCAGGATTTTTCGGGAAGTGGGAGCCCGGAAGATTCGCCGCGGAGTTTCAAGAGTGCTTGACAGACCGAGAAAGAGAGAGAGAGACAGAGGTGTGAAAGATAGAGAATAGTTATTTATAAGGGTAATCCTACTTTGTACCCCCATGCACCCCAAACAATGTTTTGATTCTTAATTTATATTTTTAAGGATTATAAATTTTAAATTTATATTATCAATATTATGAATTTATAGCAATATAGAATTGATCCAAACTATCGTTCAATTCTTCGTCATAAAAAAACCATTAAGGTACAAATACTTTGGACATGAGGACGAGGCATACTCATTACTGTAGATTTTCGTTTGCGATAAATTTAACACGTTTTGTGCATTAAAAATAAGGTTTCATTAACTAGATAGACGCTAATTTTATCATCTGCAACTCATATGTGGCGTCAATAATATATGAATTTATGCATAAGTCTATGCTGGAAGTACTTGCAATTCATGTGCTTCAATTTATGATAGAAAATTAAAAGCAGTTTGGGCATGGTCCATATTAATATTAATTCATAACATTAGGGTTATAAATTAAAATTTTTAATATTTGAGGATATAAATTAAAAATAAAAAACGGCGCCTAAAAAAAATAGAGTGAAATTAATCCTAATCATAAACGGCTTCAGAAAAGTACCTATTCATTTAATTTATAATCCGCCAAAGGCTCGACAATCGTTCCTTATTTTCAGTGTTTTACTTTCTTAGAGTAAATGACACTAAGACCCCCTAAAATTTTCCAATTGATCAGACGCTTTCTCTTAGGTATGAAAATTTACGCGCACTCCTCTGAAGTTTTTGTGTGCATGTAACGTGTAGACCTTGTCACTAATATGTGGCTAAAGACCACCAACATTGTATTAAGAGAGGTCTCTAAATTATAGAGTTTATGTTATTTTAGTTCTCAGTATTTTAATTACATCATTTTAGTCTTTAAAGTATTAAATATGTTTCTATGTAGTCCCTCAAACAAATAATGTCTAAATTGCTAACAATTTTTTTATCATAAACTTGTCATGTGATATCTAAATATGGACAAAAAATAATTTGAGTAGCTCTTGACCAAAATTTGGATATTTTATGATCAAAACTGTGTAATTTTGATAGCTCTTTGACAAAAAATTGAGTAAGTTTTATTTTATTTTTATATTTAAATATTACGTAATAAGTTTATAATAAAAAATCATTAACAATATTAATATTGTTTGTTTGAGCCTTTGAAGAATCACATAGAAATATATTCAATACTTCAAGGACTAAAATGATGCAATTAAAATATTAGAAACTAAAATAAGATAAATCTTATACTTTAGGAACCTCCAGTGCAATTAATCCTTTTTTTTTTTTGGTAAGATAAAAAAGTGGAATGATAAAGAAAAAATATTGATGTATATCTTACCATTGTATCTATGTATGAAATTAATATGTACATATTATGTAATAGATAAATATAATATATGCATATATTAAGAATATAAAGATAAATAAAATACTTTTAAATCCACATAACTATAACTTTGCGTTAACGTTTCTTCCAATTTTTGAAGAATAGATTTAGGTGAAATGAAAAGGGAATCAATTCTTCCACTTTTTCATTTTTTTAGTTTTTTTTATTTATCAAATATAATATTTTATCTATCTTTTTTCTTTTTCATCATTCTATTTTTTATCGTACTAAACAAAACATTTGGGAATTTGAATGAAACTTATAATATTTTGGTGAAAGGAAAGAGAAGGGGACAGAGATGTCCAAAGGGAAAAATCAAAAGTTGTTTGTAGTTTTCCCTGCCGTTTGAGGCTTTGATAAAGGGAGCCAATGGTGGAAGTTGGCTGAATTCCCCAATTACTTGATGGTACAAGGAACATTTTTAATGTAACATAATTGTTGGACTGTAGAACACGATTGGACTTGGTAGATTTGTGAAGGGTTCTTGTCAACTAAAGCATGATCGCATAGAACATTAGATGCCCTCATCTCATCTCTCTCTCTCTCTGGATGACCAATTCAAAGAATTTTTGGGCACGTATCTATCTCATTTGACAATGCAAGGCCAATGGGCAGACTTGAAAAGGTCGGGTCAAAGAAGAGGGGACATTAAAGAAAAAGTGCAGTCTAATGGGGGAATATATAATAGGATAGTGATCTATCCACCCAAAAAAAAAAAGATAGAATATCAATAAATATTTTGATATATCAATATGCATATGATCATTGGCTCGTTAGTCTACGTATGATACAAAAAATGCATGATTATTGATGATTGTATAAGTTCGAAGCATGAGAGGAATGCTTAAATTAAAACACTCAAGATTTGTGAACAGTAAAGTGTGAATTAATAGTGGTGAAGATTATGACCTATGGTGGAGTCTGGTGGCTCTGCCCAATGCCATAGTAAATCCAGGACTATGGTGCGTGCTACAAATAGGAAAAGATATACGGACTATAGTGGTTCACCCTTGGTTAATCTATTCTAATGGAATCCTTTGCTCCTTGAAAAATAAATTTTTCCTTAAGGAAGAAGATAGGGTTACAATTTGTTCTATGCCCTTACATGGAGAAGGTCTTTTGTATTTATATCTACACTTGGGGTGGTTCTTCCATCATCATTAAGTGATCCCTAAATTTGTTAGGATTGTGTTGAGCAAATATTGAATCATTAGAGATTGTATTACTTAAGTATGACGTGATTTTCTAAAATATGTTGAGGTGGCATTGTTATCTACCTTCAAACTTGGGTGCGTCGTGGTCTTTCATAACCCTTGAAAGAGTGCTATGAGATTGTTTTGTTTCAGGATGACCTCTTATTCCTTTAGCCAATTTGTGTGTAAGGGAGCTCGATCCAAACACCTATCCTGAACTAGAGATGCTGATTCTTCTCATGATGTAGCATGGAAGACCTATACACCAGTACCTAAAATCTTTATTAGACGACTTGTATTCCTTTAACTGAGGATGTTATGTGAACAAACTTAACTTTTTATATAGGGATGAACGTACAGCCATAAGGTATGGAGATAGACCTTGTCTGTTGGCTCTGTTATGGACCAATTATCTAAATATCCTTTTATTTATTCATGATGCCAATTTTGGATATCATTAACTATAATATGTGATAGGCCAGGTGTAGGTATTGAGGGAATTGGATATATGAGGCCTCCAATTTTAACTATAGTGAGTCCATGTTTTAAAATGTTCAAATATCTTCACGAAACTTACATTTCCTATGAGCAATCAACAAAATTATCGAGTTTTTATATTTTAAGACCTTTTGGAATGTTATCATAACCAAAGCACACTTTGAAAAAGTTGAGACCAAAAATATAGCTCTAGACTATTCCATTTAGTTGCTCGACGAAACAAAGGTACATCCTATTAATACCTAGTAATACGACAAAACTTAAACTTATAAAATCTGGCTATGAATAAGACAAATCTACAATTAAAATGTATTTTTATGTTTTGATTATTATTGAATGATTTAATAATGATAATGTTCAGTAGATTTTACTTATTTATTTTTTTTTAACTTCAGAAACAACATAAATTGTTGTCAACAATGAATTTGGAACCCAACCTCTCTCCACCCATAAATGCTATGCACTTGCTTCACCAAATTGTGCTCCTATGACTTCGATCGAGAGAGAAAAAAATATAGATATAAAGAATACATCATGTATGAAATGATTAATTTGAGTGATACAATAGGCTCGAATACCTCTCAATTAATAATAATAGAAAAAAAAGTAAGGATAAAACAAGTGTTCTATCACCATATGTTACAATTAATTTAGACCAGGTCAAATTTTGGATCGAGTTTCGGATTGTCAATAAATTTAAATATGAATTACGAAAAATAAAATCCGTCAAATTAGATGTCCAAAGTTGGATACAGATTTAGATTAGTTAAAATCCGATCTAAACCAGATCCGTTGACAAGTTTATGGACCTAGGTTGGTCAGCAGTCCACCAGATACCATCACAATTTTAACCCTATAGGGATAGGTACCTCAAACAACTTGAATGCAACTTCCAGTATTTCTCACCTCTTTCCATTCAAGCATATAATTCTGGCAACTTTTGTAATGCCAACCATATCTAGTAGGAATATTTTTCATGTGAGTTTGAAAAAATAGTTGAAAGAATAACCAATCCAAGAACTTATCAGATTGAAGGTAATATGGACTCGCAATGGAAAATAGTATGCCTTCAAAAGTGTTAAGGAAATGATCAACATCAAATCCACAAGTAGCTAAGAGACTAACAAATCTGATGATTCATGGACACCTGAACCACAACTATTAGAGATCCAATAAATTGGCTTACACCAAGATTACTTGTCATCAGGTTCACATTTAGGGCATGTTTGTGTTGGGAGATTAAATGATACTATAAAAGGGTTAGAAAGAAATAGTATTTGGGGTCTGCCTATTATGTTGTTTGTTTAATATTTTACGCGCAGTATTATTTTTGAGGTCGTAATACCGACCATGCTTGCACAATGTCTGTTAAACCTTGTACATGGTATTAACGAATACTACTTACCCGGTGGTATTATCTACATGGTATAAATGAAAAGACGGTACAAGAGAAAAATAACACAAATGCCCTCCTTTGTTAAAAGAGTTAACATATAAAACATTTATTTTGAATTTTTTTTCTTATATTATATTTAAGTTTACGGTGTCATCGATTTTTTTTTTATTTTTTTAAAAGAAAATTATTTTAAATTTTTTCTTTGTATTATATTTAAACGTAAGGTGTTACTAATTTTTTTATAAAAATTATTTGAAATTTTTTTCTTATATTATGTTTAAGCGGACAATATTATCAATTTTTTTAAAAAATTTTTTAAAAAAAATTATTTTAAATTTTTTCCTTACATTATGTTTAAACATACAGTATTACCAATTTTTTTTTAATTTTTTTTAAAATTATTTTAAATTTTTTCCTTATATTATGTTTAAGTGTACAATTTTTACAGTATCACCGATTCATAGCATCAAATTCTTTATTTTTTATGTGAATTTTTTATATTATCCAAAAATTTTTGGGTATGGATTGTTATATCATGTATTATACCAAACATGGTACAAAAATGTTACACAAACAAAATAATGGAATAAATGATGTTAAAAATAAAATGGTATATTTGTTATAAAAGATGTTATAGAATAAATGATTATTTATAGTACCCACTATAGTACCTATCGAACAAACAAACATGGTAGAAGATTCTAATACTTTATATTACCGGTACTAATTGCCATTAATATTGGAAATATAAGGAATACTTTTCTAATACCCCATATTTAATCCCTCAAACAAACATGCTCTCAGTGAATTGTCATCAGTTCAAAGCTATGATGGACCTTTCTGGCAAAGCATTGAACAACAGCATCCTCAAGCCAGCAGGCTGCTGTCAATCACAAATCAACGTTCTGTCCACTTGCTACCACTTCGACGTGCTACCTTAACTGATCTCAAATCAATATACACGTCCTTCCAACAGCAAGGGAATCTATCTGATCGTAAGAGTTTCACTCGGAAACCTCAACTGCTTCTTATCTGCAAAAGGAATAACAAGAAATCATCTTTTTCTCAATTCAGGAAGTTGGCAACAATAATTTAATCACAACAAATTTTGAGGGGTCATTTGGGTATTTCGTGGGAAACGAATCGTAGAAAACCCCCCTTGAGGTTTTCATAGCATTTAGATGTTTTCTATATGTTCTTGTTAAACCACAGACTCGTCAAAAAGCTTTTAAGTTGTTAGAGAATGATGTATCATAAGTATTTTGATATATTCCCTCACAAGTAGCCCCTCTTGCGTGGTATGTCCACGTGATTCTTTTTTGTTTTGTATAATAAGAGAGGAGGTGCTGGAATGATTTGGGCTTAGAACCTCTAAGCTCAGACACCATGCTAAACCACCAATTCATCTAAATGCTGAAGTTGTCAAAGAGAGAGAGTATGTAATATAATAATAATTATTTAATAACTCTCAACCACAGTTAAGAATAAGGTGGATCCAAATCCACTGATGAGAACTCATCCTACTTCTATAATTGAATTAGTGATTACATAAAATAATGATTACATTCCTTCATAAGGCATCCAAATGCGTTCCAACAATTTTAAGGGTACCTTAATGCGAATCAAGCAGTGAATGCAACGCTATCAATCTTCATGTTCGTCTTCACCTTCAGAATCTACAAAAGGTAACAAGTCAATTTAAGGATCATGAACAAGAAACGATGCACAGTAAAAAGAGGCATCTAGTGGCTTTAAATACAGCCGACCAAGCTAAAGTGTACAGCAAAATACATCTCTTAACATGTGTATAAAAGATGCACCCCCCCACTGTCATCAATCAGGCCAGTCAATTTTTAATCTGATCTATGATTCTACTTACATCCAGAGTAAATCCATTATACCTAAACCAGCTCAGTACAGGTTCAGAATTCGGAACAAAGCATGCAGATCCCTGTGTAAAAGTAAATATCTGTATGTTGGAGTTAAATACATCATCATCAAGGGTCAACCTGTTTGGAGTGTGATGAAAATTCTCTCCCTCAATTCTTCTTGCAGAGGATTGAGGTTAGGATGGGAACTCTTTCCCCAACTTGCTTTGGAGCAGACCAAAAAGGTCACAATCCCAAGAAGTGAAGGACAGGATGGGTTCAGGATCTATGAAACTCGGGTGAGGTATGGTTAGAGGAGCACAATGCCTAGTATACTAGAAGGGTCAACACCTGAGTTCCCTGTACTCGTCAACATGCGGCACCATTACAATGATCAACACACGCGAGTTCAACATAAATTGAACATTCCAAGTATTTTAGCTTGTTTTACATGCTGTGTGTGGAGAATATGGGTTGGAATTATGGATATTGGTTGTCTCACTCAAAGTTGATGTGGGACATACTCAAGTCCTTCTGTTGAGGCCAGGGCAGCACCATAGTGTGGTTTGCCAAAGGCTTCAAAATAAGCACCATTTTTGGATTAGTGTGGTAGGTTTACCGTAATCCCAAGACCAATTCAAACCCATCTTGGGTGCCTATTTTACACTGTTCCTGCTCTTACTCCAGTCTCTTGTATCACATAGCCATCGTACTAGGGTGAGCACAAGTGCGTCACAAAGCTGGATCCAATACCCATCCTACTTCCAATTAGTCACATGGTGAAATTCCAAAATAGTCAGTGAAATATCAACCCTCCCCCACTCCCCATTCTCCTGTCAATGTCAACTGCAATCTTCAAATTCCCTCTTGCAGAAAATATTGTCTGAACTCTTTTTTGTCTATCAGTTGCAGATTGCAACCATGCACATGCACATGTTCACATTAAAAAACCATCTAACTAGCTTGTTTTCACTTACCTGATCGAACATCTTCGCTAAGTTGGCCTCCTGCTTGAATTTGTTTTACAAGCATCCGGCACATCAACACCCACCAATAAATGTTAATAACAAGCAAGCAAAAAAGAAGAGAATTGAACACGTAGTAGCAGATGGGCCCATCAACTTTATGCTTGTCCATGTCTAAGGTCTGAATAACTTCGTAACTGTCATGGATAAAAAGTAAATATAATTTTTTTTAGCTGAATAGAGCATTTCTCATAAAATGCAAATCCCAAGTCCACCATAAAAAGGGGAAAAGGCAAAAAAGGGGAAGAGGGGAGACAGACAGACAGAGAATCAACTGGAATAAATATACTAACATATGAGTTACAATGGCTAACTAACCATTTATGTCTCGGTAACACAAACATTTTAGAAACGTTTCAAAGATGTTTCGGAAAACACAATGGAAATAAGGAAAAAATTGAAATTTTGAATTCGAAACATAGGCAGAAACTTACAAAAACATCTCTGAATGTTCGAAAAAATGGGAATTTCGAGTTTTTGTAGAAATGAAATTTTGATCCTTGCAAATAGCTATTAAGGTCAATTGTGGTAAAAAGAACAGCAAGGAAATTAAGTTAAAGCAGGGTAAACATCACAAATAAAATCTGACTTAGAAGAAGATTGCCACATATACAAAGGTTCTTTTGAAAAAACAAACCTCTGTTTTCCATCAAATCACAAGGTTGCCATACAAATATTTCAAGCCATGAATAGTAGACCAAGAAAATAGGTCTGACTTTCAAATACCAAGGAACATAACATCTCCTTGAGTCTTGGGATTTCCAACAACATTACTCAATTATTATTAGTAAAGTGTTCCGGCTTCAAGAACCAATCATTAGAGCCAATACCCAATATGACAACAAGAATGAATTTATAGCATAATTCCAGCTACTTTATATGCATCTAAAAGCAAATGGACATGCTTTTTAATATCAGGTGCTTTAAACTTGGTCCTTTTTGCAGGAATACAATCATGGACAGTAAACAAGCAGAATTGACATGGCATATTCCAAGGATAAATAAATCAAGTATGCATACCATTAATGAGTAAACACTTTACAACACATCATTATATCTTTTTTTTTAAGAGCAAGCAAAACTTCCATTCGTTAAAGAAGGGTTTACAAAAAAAAGGACGACAAGCAAAACCCACCCTATGATGATTGAAAAAGAGCGAAAATGCATCAAAGAAAAAAAATTACAATCATAGAAAAAATTCCATAGTTACATGAAGCTATCCAACAATACTAAGAAAGTAAAAAGGCACATCCTTGAACACATTTTTAGTTGAAGCCCAAAGGGAAGCTAGAACCTTTGCTCTATTCCAGAGAAACTCCACAGGTTTTTCTTTTCTGTAAAAAATTTCTGTTATTCCTTTCCAATCATACCCACCCACAAAATTGCCACGACTACACACTCTTCACAATATGGATCCTCTACAACTTTTCCTAAAGACATTGTAATGTAATTTATTTCCAATAAACCTCTCTGACACATCCAACTCGATCCAAATTCATCCAAAGCTCTAAACCACAATTTCATCGCTACCAGGCAAGGAGAAAAAGATGATCCACACTTTCACTACATTTCCTACAAATAATGCACCACTGCAGAGAAAAACAAGAGTTTTGTCCTCTCCTTTGCAACAAATAGGAAGTATTAATCATTCCAAGAGCCACTGTCCAAACAACATCCATTAATCATTTCACCTAATGCTATATCTCTGTTAATTTTCTAGAGTTCGAGGAAACCAATATTTTTGTATGACGTATTCAATCTAACCTGAACAAGTTTCAGTATTGAGAGTAACATAGCCAACAAAATGCTCTATCATCATATTTTCACCTTGTACTCCAGAGGACCCAGAATGGATAGTAAGTGAGCCGAAGTAGGATCCACACCAAAACAAAAAGAATTAATGAAAAGCTAGCAAGAGCTTCAGCACCACTGTATTTGGACATCTTCCCTACTTCAAGGAATACATCGCTAGCATCATGAAGAGCCAAAACAACTGAACCAACACGTCCAAATCTGCAAGCAGAAAACATGAGAAGAAATCAAGTTTGATTCAATTGCCAAAGACGTTTTAGCAAAGTAACTACGTGCTGACATAAGATATAAAATGGGAGGGGTGGGGTTAAGTGTATTATCAAAAACTAGATTCATTCAAATTAGTTTGTATTAGCCCACTATCCCAGTTTTCACATTGGACTAGGAACCATACTACTATAGACTCTTCCAGATGAACAATAAATATTCATGTAATGCAATTCCTCTTGCAGTACTTTTCCAGCAGCTAAGTTTGAATTCAACCTGCATAATTACGGTTTTGTATACAAAACGACAAGTAAAAGCTCATCTCCATTAAAACATACCTGAAAATGTAAGATAACACAATGAGAATGACAGACGCGACATGATGACCCATCGACACCCAAAAGTCAGAACGTCGTGTTTCCCAAAAAATTAGAGCAAATATGGAGTATGTGTAGAATCCACCAGTATACATGAAGTGCCCCTTCAATTTCAACCTGAAGATCCATAATACAGTCAATCAGCAAACACAAACTTTCAAATCAAAGTATCAAGACAATCGAGGGCAGAGAAGCGACAATGGGTGTTGACTTAAATGATTGTCAGTGCATGGCATTTGAAACTCTTACTTATATTTCTGGTTAGGCCAGACCTGATCTCCAGGCCCCACCCAAAAATATTTTGTTTTAGAAAACCAAGGCTCATCATAGATCACAGCAAGTGCTAGAAACTCTGCCGAAAGATAATAAACACATTTCCAAGCAGATTCCTTGAATTTCCTAAACTTCTTTCTTCTCTCATCTGTCTCAACAGCCAGCATCCGCTGCCCCTTTCCAAATATTAACCATCTTCCCAAATTCTGCAACATGTACATCTATTTAAAATTAAGCAATGGACCTTTGAGGTAGAGGGTAAAAATTAAAAGGGTTGGAGCAGTATTACCCACTACTCAGAGTAGGGTTATTCACATCTCGTAATTATAAAAGAAGTTCACGGGGAACAGGTGGTCATTTTGTTAGGGCATAATACTACCTTTTTCCTACTTCAAATGGCCATTTCGTGTGGTGAGGCCCCAAAGTTTATTCCAAAATCCACAACTGGGCCTACAGAAATGGCATATCATATGAACAAAAAAAGTTTTTGAATGTCCATCCCATTTCTTCGAAATGAAAATGCCTTTTATAATCACAAAATGCCATGGTTTTAGTAATATTTTGTAACATTAATCATGTGAAGACCTAATATGGATAACACTTATTCTGTGAATAAAGGCCTTGAAGTGTTGCCATGCGTGAGAACAAATTAAGGGTGAGCGCAGCCACTTTCTATCAAAATATGTCAAAAATAGGGTATGTATCCAATCTACTCCACTCAACACATTACGTAAACGGAGACCACACTCCACTGCACCTTTGTCAACAGGAAGTGCAAATTTCAAGACGGTTTCTTTCTAGTCATTTATTCACAAGTGATTGCCTTTCATAGAAGCCAAAAATATGATCTTTCTATGGCACAAGGATAAGAAAACTGCAAAGAAGAAAAATAAATAATAAAATTGTATCCAACCTTCGAGTTTTTCTGATCAACTTCATTCTCAATAATCAAGAAACCCATTTTGATTCGTTCGGCATAATGGAGCAAATGTATAGAATCCCACAAAATTCCAAAGCAAGTAATGGGTTCAAACAATTCTAAACAAGGCTAATATGTAACAGAAATTAACATCATAAATCCAACGTCTAATAATATAACAACACAGTACCTAACCAACTCATAAGTATCCTCACAAATGGAAAACCTAATGGCATCCAATTCCAAGTAAACAAATTTTGGACTTCGTGGATGACAAATAGAAATTCTATCAACACCGACATTGGTGCCACATATATATTTAGACAAAATGTTTGGTAGCATAATGTTCTAACTTAGAAGCTTTTTGCGATGTAAAAACATAACCTATATATATGAGTAACAATATATCATTACACACGGATGAACTCAGTACTTAACTTATCAAAATCAATATGGGTTCACATAATGATCCAGATACATGCATAACAATTATAGGATAAATCTCCGATGAACCCAATACTTAACTCACAAAAACGCATGCGGGTTCACATAATAACATATGATGCTCAGGGGAAGTAGGAAAACTATACAAGTATTCATCCTAGCTTGGTACTGTGAGCACGAGGCACACAGTAGTAAGAAAACAATCACAATCAAGCAAGTACGACTATAAATTGTATATGTAATCAACCATATATTCACAGAATCTAAGTTTTGAATATTAAACATACCCCTTTACGGCATGTACAAATACGCAGCATAGAATGGCGAGTTTGACCGATCTAATTTACAATGTTCAAAAGTACTAAATAAAAAAGAAATACATGATCAAATTCAAAATCATTGCAGTGCACTAAAACAATACTGAAGATGGTACCTCAAAAACAAATCTGTCCAGGAAAAAGCGAACACATGGGAAGAAGATGACAAACAGGGGAAGAACTGCGAAATCTTCATATTGAGCATACGATTCCTGTTGCCAATCAATGGCAGGAGCCAATTCAGCTATACCCATTTTGTAAAATCCACCAAAAGAATCAGTATTGAGTGTATATCAGAGCTGGGTGGATTGAATGTAGAAGCAGATAATCTCTCTCACAAGCTTCGGTCAACTCTACGTCTAACCCTGTGGATGGTACGGTGCAAAGTAGGATGAAAGGAAAATGGGCTGGTAATTACTCATCCACCTATTACACAACCTTAGAACTTTCGAGAAGGAACAAGACATGCGAACAATGAAGAATAATCTTCAATCCTAATTCTACTCAGGATTGAAGTACTACCCAAGTTTAATTTGGGCGGGGTAGGATTGACAATTTTAGATTGATTTCGGACTATTTTACGGGTTCAATTCAAGTAGAGCCCAAAATAAGTTTGTTGTTCTAAACCTAATACATATATTACATAATATTCACCTAAATTAACAACCAATCAAGTTTTTAACGAGAGAAGCTGCGAGAACGAGAGAAGCAAAGAGAACGAGAGAGACAGCGAAATATATATATATATATATAATATTTTTTTTAATTTGTCAGGTTCGGGTTTAAGAGGCCTTAACCCGAGGTCAACCCAAATTGAATTTAGGTTGAAATTTTTTAATCCAAACCCAACTCAAGTATTAAAAATTCTTGTCCAAACCCTAATTTTTTTGGGTTGGACTCAGGTTGCCCAACCCAAGTTGCACCCCTAGATAAAATAAGAACCCGACTAAAAGTTGAATAAATTTAATGCAATATCAACCCAATATGATATGATCCAATTAATTAATAATAGCCCGAACATCTTAAAAAATATTTTAAGGTTAAATTGATTAATTTTTTTCTCTGTCTCATTCTGGTTATCTTGTATTACTTGTGAAACAAGAATATATGATCAAAATTACGTGTTGAGTTCGTATCACCTTATCATATTATATGAATAATTATTACTCTTATATATTAGACGATTTTTTAATATATCTCTCAATAATTAATTCAATAAATTTCTTAATAACACAAATATTATATTTTAACACGTGTATTTAGTTGATTCCAAAAAAAATGTTGTCCACTTTTTTTTGTATATATTTATTAATTTTTATAGCAAATTGCAGAGATTTTTAACATTTTTAAATCTTGAAAAATCTACTTGTAATAAATAAATATTTTTTATTAGTGAAGGTATAATAATAAATAAAATCTTCGTACTTTTCCTTTCTTTTCATTTTTTCATTGGTACAAAATAATAGAAAATTAATTTATCAAATTTTTTTATCCATTGTACCAAATAAAAAAAGAAAAAGAATGATTTTTCTTTTTTTAAGATTAAAAAATCTATCACTCGTACTTTTATATCCTCCTTATTTTTTATTTCTCCAGCCAACCATACCATAAGTATATTGCTAAAATATACAATAGGTTTGTCGACATCTGGCAATTTTTTGATTGGTTGTTAGAGAATGTAACTGCCCTCTGTGTATTTCTAATTCTCTGTAATGGCATTGTGTATGTTGATGGACAGATTTGCCCTTCTGACAATGACATCGACCGGGCTATGCTTTTCTTTTTTTTCTTTTTGTTTTGAGAAATTAGAATAAGGTCGACCAAATTAAAGTTAATCGTAAAAAAATACACAGAAAAAAAATATAGGGTAAAAAAATCATTAATTTTGATACTTATTTGTTTACAATTACATTATTTGAAATTTTTATATTTTCTTTTGACTTTTATATCCTCCTTTGATCTATGCGTATTTTTTTTTATAAAATGGTGCATTAAACATCTCCTAATTTTATGGGTGAACTTTAATATTCCGTAGTTTTATGTCCTCTCTTGATTCATGCATATTTTTTTTTGGAAAGTGATTTCGTTTTTAAATTATATTTAATGCACTTTAATTCATGCGTTTTTTTTTTTGAAAAGTGATTTTATTTTTAAATTATATTAATATCCGAACTCCATAACAGTGTAATAATAATAGTGTAACAAGACATTTACATAAAATATTGTAAGAAAAATTTCAACCACACCCCCTGTAGTTTACCATATCTTCAAGGACACCCGCTCTAATTTTTGAATCTTCAATGACACCTCCTGTTAAATTAAAAAATATTAAGTAGAATGTAATTTTACTAAATTGTCCATGATATATTTGAGGACAAATTTCATCCACACCCTTGTAGATAAACATATATTCAATGAGACCCCCTCTGTTTTCTAATTTTTTTTTACGTAATTAAATTCAAATCGATTAAAATTCGATTCAAGCTAATTAAAATTTATTTTTTTACATATTAAAATTTGTTTTAATTAAAAATTATATTTTTTTTACGTATTAGAATTTGGGCTAGTTAAAATTTTGTTTGAGCCAATTAAAAATTATTTTTAATCGACTCAAATCAAATTTTAATTAATTTGCATTGAATTTTAATCAGTTTAAATTTTAATATATAAAAATATATAAATTTTAATTGACTTAAATTTTAATAAATATAATTTTAATTGACACAAATTTTAATAAGAAAAAAATATAAATTATAATCAATTTGAAAGAGAATTTTAATCGGCCATAACAACTCGAATAGAGTTCAAATCGGCTCAAATTTTAATATGTAAAAAAAAATTTTAATAGGCTCAATTTTTTTTTAAAAATTTACTAATTAGTAAATAAAAAATTAGTATTTACTAACAAATTATTTACTAAAATTGTTATTTATGATTTTTTTTTTAAATTTTAACAACCTGAATTTTAATAAAATTTTATGTAAAAAAATTACTTGAGGTTATGTAGGGGCTTTTTTGGTATTTTAGATGAATTTATTTTGTTAGAAATAATAGTTTAATAGGAGAGGGTGTTAGTGATGTTTAAATTAAACTAGATGGAGTATCATTGAAGATTTAGAAATTAGAGGGGTGTCCTTGAAGATATGGTAAACTAAAGGGGTATCATTGAAATTTTTCCAATATTATACTATTATATTTTGTTAAACATATATTTTCATATAATTTCATTCAACACAGTTCATTTCTGTTTTGAATTTGTTACCATATGCACAAAATCATTGAACACTATTTTTGTTATAGTATATTGTTACTCTATTTTTATTACACTATTGCTTAATGAATTTGTTACTTTTTTTTTACAGTGTAAATAATTTTATATTTCAAATTATATAAAAAAATAATTAACAAATTTTTAAATTCAAACAAAGTGATATATCTTAAAATAAACGAAAATATTAAAATTCTTTCATAAAACTAGGAGATATTTAATGCATAAATATAATCTATAATACTAATAAAAGTACTTTAGATGAAAAACTTTTGAATCTCTATTTTACCCTTATAAAAGATTGTAAAGATCATTCTATCATTTCACAATTAAATATCTAGATTACTATCATATGCTTATATATTTAAATCTCCAAAATAACTATAACATCTATTTTAATTATTTATTCTCTATGTATAAATATTTATTTTTTGATTAACTATATTACTCTTAAAAAAATAAGCATCATTATATTTTCAATAAATTGTTCAAAAAAACTTCAAAAACTGCATCTTTCTATATTACAATTAAAAAAAGTTGAACCCTTTCATTTTTAAGATAAAAAATAATCATATATATAATTTTTTTAAATCAATTTATGTTATATCAATATAATTTTTTAACCACAATAAATTTTAGAATCAATTACACTGACATTTATGTAGATTGGTCTAATTACAAGGACACTCCCTCAATTTTCTAAAATTACATTAATACCCCATGTCAGGTCTTGTCTCTTAACAAATATAACAAAAAATGTGATTTTTCATAATTACCCTAATCATATAGTATTCTCTCATATATTTAAATACTAATAAATGAGTCATTTTCGGGTTCAACCCATTAAATCTGAAATTGACACGATCAACCCGTTTTATTTAATTGTGTCAAATTTTTTCTATTTTCTCGTTTGTATGTTAATACAAACAACATGGAATTACAATGATTCATATGTTTAATTGATATTATAAAAATAAAAAATCAATTATTTGTTGTTGTTTATTGAGCACTAACATAATTATTGTATAAAAAATATATTTGTACTCATTATTATTACTATGTTTATTAAGTTAATTTTTAGTTTATAGAAAAAGTATGAGAATAGATTCAATTAAGTAATAATAGAACCTTAAACTTAATTAAATCTTAACGTTAAATTTTTTTATTTAAAGTTTATATGAGTCAACACGAATACGGACACACCTGCATGGGTAGCCCAGCGGTGTGGAGTTGAACCTAGACAAATCATAGACCCAGACGTCAAGGGTTTGACTCTCGCCGGTGTCTCTTAGACTTAACTGATATATGTGGATTGCGGGTAATTGCAAGTATGCGGGATTTACTCTCGCAAGAATGGGTCCAAAGTGGCCTTACCTTGGAGAGGTTCCACGATATAAAAAAGAAACATAATTGCGAACACAAAAACGAGACGAAAATAAATAGATTTAACAAAATTTTATCCGGGGGTAATATGAATATTAAAGTATAAAAAATTAATGTTGTAATCACTTTTTTGACATTGTCAATAACAATGCTAACCATAGAGATACTTTGTGAAATGGGTAGGTAAACGGTAAAGGATGTCAGTGTAATTTCAAAAAGTTGAGGAGTGTCTGTGTAATTAGACTAATTTATATGAATGTCAATGTAATTTATCCTAAATTTTATAAGTTGTACTAAGATTTTTTTTATAAAAATAAATATCGTAGTGTATTTTTAAGTAAAATTTGAATTCTTTAGAATTTTAAGATATTTGATAATATAAATTACAGAGTAGTATATTAAATCTTATTCCAATTGACCTAACTTATTTTTAATTGTAATAAGGTTCCAATATGATTAATATATTAACAATTAATTTTATTTTATTCAATAAATTATATTTAAAATCCTAATCAAATGAATTTCAAGAAATTTAATTTCTCAAACATTACTAAAAAAATCAATTTTAATCACAAAATTCTAAAAATATAGGACATTAACTATTTTTTTTAATTTTTTTATAGTCATAACAAAGAATTTTGGGAATATATAAAATTTTCATAATCTTATAATTGAATATAAGCAATAAAAAATTAAAATTTATAAATTTGAAATGATATTTAATTCAAATACATATATATCATATATATTTTATTAATTTTTGTGTACAAAAATTATTTTCGTGCAACGCACGTAATACATTCCTAATAAATATTAAAGGTGGCCTCAAAAATATCTCGTACATATATTAATGGTCAAAATAGATCGTACATTATATAGTTGGCCAATGTGACACTTCGAGTTCTAGTTTGAAAACAAAATCACTCTAAAAATAATATGCATGAATTAAGGTACATTAGAGATTTCAAATTAAATGATCATAAATTTCAGCGCTTAAGATAAATGTCTTGTTACAGTTTTTAGAAAAAAAAAATTTATAAAATAGGTATTTACGTTTTGTATCTCCACTGTGTACTTTTATTCAAAATATTTTATTATATTCATTTTTTTATAATTATATCTAATTTAATCTACGGGCTCACAACTGAGCTATGTTTTTAAAGTATGTATTTTGTAGACAAGTTGGCACTTGTACTTACAACTTAGGGAAAGAGACAAAAACGGAAAAGATCTACTGAATGAGGGGTAGTCAATGTTCAACACTATCTCATTTAAAATTTAGCTCGATGAGATTTGAACTCAAGATTTGACGAGTTAGGTTGGTGGGATTCGAACTCAACACTTTTAAAACTTTAAAACCTAGATTGGGCAACATGATCTCTAATTCTGCTCTTACCCACTTCACCCTCAAAACCTCTCACACCCATCATAGAAACTTGACCATTTTGCCCAACAACCCATCATCGCCACCACATGCTCAATCTCAGACGAAGACTTAAAAGTTACAATCCCAAGGATTCAATCTCCACCATTCAATCAGCCATCTAAACCTCGACCACCTCAACTTCGTCTACGTAGCTGTTGGATTCTCAAAATGGGACACGACCAAAATTCGCATAGCACTGGAACACACACTTACTGTTATGGATCGAGTACGAGAAAACCTGTCAACCGTCCCTAATACATTTAAATTCACACAACTATAACAGAAACTTATAATATTTTGGTGAAAGGAAAGAAAAGGGGACAGAGATGTCCAAAGAGCAAAATCAAAGAGTTGTGTTTTGGTAGATTCGTGAAGAGTTCTTGTCAACTACCACATGATCGCATAGAACATTAGATACTTTGTGAAGAGTTCTTGTCAACTACCACATGATTGCATACAACATTAGATACTTTATTTGTGTGTGTGTGTGACCAATTCATTGAATTTTTGGGCACGAATATATCTCATTCGACAATTCAAGAACAACGGGGCCGACTTGAAAATGTTGAGTCAAAGAAGATGAGATAATATAAATTCAAACGTCTAGAGTTTAAATCGCGATAATTTTTTGGTTCAATTAATCTATCATGAAAATTCTAATTCTGTCGTGAATAATCTGTTTTTGATCAAAAAAAAAAAACATTAATAAAAAGTGATGTGTAATGGGGGAATATATAATAGGGTAGTGATCTATCCACCAAACTCATCCCAATAAAAAATTACATACTCTCCTTTTTGATCAAATCCTTACTATGGTAAGCCTGTCCACCGTTAGTGGTGCTTGCATGCATATAATATTCGCAATAGAGATATATGTTCAAGGAATATGTGGTTGGGAAAGATTTTCATTACCAAAAAAATATAGAATATCAACAACTATTTCGATATATCAATATGCATATGATCATCGGCTCATTGCTACGGTGGAGCCAGAATTTATGTGTAGTGGGATCAAATTATAATTAATTGTTATATTAAAATCATAACATTAAAGCTATTCAATTTATCACATGTAATATTCTGACCCATCCTTGAATGTGTAGTAGTTATAACATAGAGTTTTATATTGTAATATTCTTAAACTTGACGTTGAAAAGTCTCTTTAATATAAAATGTTAGTATAAATAAATAATAATTCTTAAAAGAGAGTTTTGAAGGATTTAGAAAAATCCGGAAAGTTCTAAAACAATCAATAAATATCTGGAAAGTTTTAAAACAATTTAGAAAAGTCTAAAATATTTTGGAAGATCTTAAAAAATACTAGAAGGTTCTAGAAGGATTTAGAATGTTCCGAAAAATTTTGGAAGGATTTGGAAGGTTGTACAAGTAGTCTTCCACTTTCAAGAAAGAATAGAGTAAAAGAGAGAAGAAGGAAGGAAGAACACCTCATCAAAGGAGAAAGAAAATTGTGAGAGAAAGAGGAAAGACATCGATAATATCTAACTCTACTTCGGGTAACAAGCAACATATCACTGGGACTTGAGGTGAGTGGGTTAGCGTGCTATGTATTTTTGAAAACTCTTTGTATCCCTAAACATTTTTAAAACAATACATCATGCTTGTTCATTACTACTTTTACAAAAATATTTTACTAAGTGTCTAAATACTTGTGGCATACGATTTTCCTAATTTGATAAATTCTTTTGTGAAATATTGTGACTCAATCCTTGTTTATATGGTGAATGAGACCAAAACTAAAAATTGTGTACAGGTGACTCTGGCCACTAGGGAACAGAACCAGGGGAGGCTGAGGTAACCCTAGTACTCAACGGTTGAATGAACAGTGTCTGGTGCGTCCTGATGACCTTTACCGGAACGTCTTAAAGAACAGTTCTCGGGTACTAACCCGTGGTGACCCTAAGTACGGTGTTGGATCCAACCTTGAGATTTTGTGACATTTGGTATAGTTCCCAAATATCGTACAATTCCTTACCATTATGATGAGATGATATAATTCGTTATTATCACAATGCTTTTAGTTATTGGTTTTGTTTATGATTATCTATCGTATGCCATACATATTTTCTTGTTATCAGTTATTTTATATTCCCTGTTTTCAAAATTAATATTACTATGTGTGCCTTACCATTCAATGGGTTTTAATCTCATTCCGTTAGATTATGTTTTTTTTTTCCAAGTGATAGATTAGAGTGTCGCTAGCAGACTTTGGAGACTTTTCTGTGCACCTGATTGTGCCTTGACCTCCATAGGACGTTTTTGTGCACCATTTTATGTAGATAAGTTTATATATACATGTATTTTATCAGTAGACGCTCGGTATGTATGAGCAGTAAACCCTCTTTTGTTCGGGTTATGTAAACATGTTACTTAATAATACAAGAACATTTTGTGTTTGTATTTTCTTCTAACGGTAATATTGATGATAGACTTATATGCTCCATGGTTCATGGCCAGTCATATTTCTCGAATCGGGGTGTGACATCACAAATTTATTAATAAGTCAATACTGGAAAACCAATCAATCAATATACGTTAATTCAAATATGATTTATAATGGCCAAATTTTAAATATAAAAATATTTAGTTATAAGAACTTGAAATAAAATATTAATCCATTACGAAACACACAAACTTGAGTTCAAGAGGTTAATCAAAAATAATTTAATCAATTATTATTAACTCTAGAATTCAAATATAGAAGGGCAATTCCATAAGAAATTCATGACAATATAGCAAATTAAAAAAAAATCAGATCTTTTTTTATAGTGTGTGCATGTATTCTTTTCTCCCCTAAATTTCTAATTTGTTGATTAAATTTTAATTAGTCATGCTTGTTTGACATTCAAACTTATAAAAGGAGTTAATGAAGAACAAACAATTTTCTTCCATTTTTTAAAATATAAAGAATAATACTATTTGATGGCATAATTATGTGACAGATTAAATGTTTATAATATTACTATCCTAATGGTATCAAAGGAGATACCATGATAAAAAATAACACAATTTCGGTCATTTTACAACTCTTCAAGATCGAGTTATAATTTAAAAATAATTGACCATGAAAAACTTACGTGATAAGGTCAGTTGTAAGTATTGGGAGAATTAGATATATGAGGTCTCCAACTTTAACTATAGTGAGTCCATGTTTTAAAAGGTTTAAAAGTTCAAATATCTTCACGAGACTTACATTTCTTATGAGTAACCAATAAAATTATCGAGTATTTATATTTCGAGACGATTTAGAATGTTACAATAGCCAAAAACGCATTTGTAAGAAGTTGAGACCAGAAATAAGGCCCTTGGTCTGTTCCATTTATCTGCTTGATGAAACGCATTTTTATAATATCTAGATATGGACAAGGCAAGTCTACAATTAAAATGTATTTTTATGTATTGACTAATGATTTAATAATGATAATGTTCAGTAAATTGTTACTGATTTATTTATTTATTTTTACTTCAGAAACAATCAACAATGACTTTGGAACCCAGCCTCTCTCCACCCATAAATGCTATGCACTTCGAGAGAAAAAAAATAAGTTAGATATAAGACTAATGATAGATAGATTTAAAGTCTATTTTTTTAAGTTCATGTAACATTGTTCTAGATATAAAGAATACACCATGTATTAAATGATTAATCGAGTGTCATAATAAACACGAATACACCTCAGTTAATACGAAAAAAAAAAGTAAGGATGAGACAAGTGCCCCATCAAAATATGTTATAATTTAGTTAAGTTATTTGGATCGGATCAAATTTTAGATTGTTAATGAATTCGAATATGGATCATGAAGATAAAATCCGTTAAATTGGACTTTCAAAGTTAGATCCATTTTCAAATTAGTCAAAATCTGATCCAAACCTGATTGGTTGAAAAACCTAAGGACCTGGTCAACAGTCCACTAGAAACCAGCACAATTTTACCCCCATAGGGATGGGTACCTCAACAACTTGTATGCAGCTTCCAGCATTTCTCACCTCTTTCCATTCAAGCATATAATTCTGGCAACTTTTGTAATGCCAACCATATCTAGTAGGAATATTTTTCATGTGAGTATGAAAAAATAGTTGAAAGAATAACCAATCCAAGAACTCGTCAGATTGAAGTTAATATGGACTCACAATGGAAAATAGTATGCCTTCAAAGTGTTAAGGAAATGATCAACAGCAAATCCAGAAGTAGCCAAGAGACTAAAAAATCTGATTATTCATGGACACTTGAAACCATAACTACTACTAGAAATCCAATAAATTGGCTTACACCAAGATTACTTGGGCAAACCCTCACTGCTAATGACAGCAGGTTCACATTTAGTGAATTGTCACAAGTTCAAAGCTATGATGGACCTTTCTGGCAAAGCATTGAACAAAATCATCCTTAAGCCAGCAGGAATTGACAATCACAAATCAAGGTCCTGTCCACTAGCTACCACTTCGACCTGCTACCTTAACCAATCTGAAATCAATATACATGTCCTTCCGACGGCAAGGGAATGCATCTGATCGTAAGTGTTTCACTTGGAAACCAATATGTCGTGTAATCCTCAACTGCTTCTTATCTGCAAAAGGAATAACAAGAAAGCATCTTTTTCTCAATTCAGGAAGTTGGCAACTATAATATAATCACAACAAATTTGGGAATTTCGTGGGAAGTGAATCATCTCCTTATATTTCACGTCAGTCGGAGACAAGCCCCCGTGAGGTTTTCATAGCATTTAGATGTTTTCTATATGTTCTTGTTATACCATGGACTCATCAAAAGATTAAGTTGTTAGAGAAGGATACATAACTATATATATAATATTTTCCCTCACAAGTGACCCCTCTTGGGTGGTCTGTCCACATGATTCTTTTTTGTTTTGTATAATAAGAAAGGAGGTGCTAGTATGATTGGAGCTTAGGACCTCTAATCTAAGCTTGGACACCATGCTAAACCACAAACTCATCTAAAAGCTTAAGTTGCCAGAGAGAGAGAGTGTGTGTGTAACATTAGTAATTATTTAATAGCTCTCAACCACAGTTAAGAATAAGTGGATCCAAATCCACCAATGAGAACTCATCTTCTATAATTGAATTAGTTATTATGTAAAATAATGATTTGGAAAATCCAAATGCCTTCCAACAATTTTAAGGGTACCTTAATGCGAATCGAGCAGTGAATGCAATATGATCAATCTTCATGTTCGTCTTCACCTTCAGAATCTACAAAAGGTAATAAGTCAATTTAAAGATCATGAACGAGAAACGAGGCATAGTAAAAGGAGGCATCTAGTGGCTTTAAATACAGCCGACCAAGCTAAAGTGTCATCAATCAGGTCAGGCAATTTTTCATCTGATCTATGATTCTACTTGCATCCAGAGTAAATCCATTATACCTAAACCAGCTCAGTGCAGGTTCAAAATTCGAAACAAGACATGCAGATCCCTGTGTAAAAGTAAATATCTGTATGTTGGAGTTAAATACTTCATCATCAAGGGCCAACCAGTTGGGAGTTTGATGAAAATTATGTCCCTCAATTCGTATTCCAGAACTTGATTCTTCTAGAATAAAGCAAATTAGATCAGGAATCCTGGTTCATTTCATAAGAAAAATAATTGAACAAGTAAATAAGTCAGTGGCAGAGGCCTAACAAGTGCCCCAACCAATCCCTCCCCAGCCTCTAAGGAATGCAAAAGATTGAGTTTAGGATGGGAACTCTTTCCCCAACTTGCTTTGGAGCAGACAAGAAAGGTCAGAATCCCAAAAAGTGAAGGCCAAGGTGGGTTCAGGATCTACGAAAACTCGGGTGAGGCAGAGTTAGAGGAGTACAATGCATAGCATACTAGAAGGGTCAACAAATGTGAGTTCCCTGTACTCATCAACATGTGGCACCATTACAATGATCAACACACGCGAGTTCAACATAAATTGAACATTCCAAGTATTTTAGCTTGTTTCACATGCTGAGTGTGGAGAATATGGGTTGGAATTATGGATATTGGTTGGCCTCACTCAAAGTCGATGTGGGAAATACTCAAGTCCTTCTGTTGAGGCCAGGGCAGCACCATAGTCTGGTTGGCCCAATGCTCACCATTTTTGGATTAGTGTGGTAGCTTTCCCTAATCCCAAGACCAATTTAAACCCATCTTAGGTGTCTAGTTTACCCTATTCTTGCTCTTACTCCAGTCTCTTGTATCACAATAGCCATCGTACTAGGGTGAGCACAATTGGGTCACAAAACTGGATCCAATACCCATCCTACCTCCAATTAGTCACATGGTGAAATTCCAAAATAGTGAGTGAAAAAGAAATATCAATCCTCCCCCACTCCCCATTCTCCAGGCAATATCAACTGCAATCTTCAAATTCTCTCTTGCGGAAAATATTGTCTGAACTCTTTTTTTGTTTATTAGTTGCAGATTGCAACCATGCACATGCACATGTTCACATTACAAAACCATCTAAATAGCTTGTTTTCACTTACCTGATCGAACATCGTCACTAAGTTGGCCTCTTGCTTGAATTTGTTTGACAAGCATCCGGTACATCAACACCCACCAATAAATGTGAAGAACAAGCAAGCAAAAAAGAAGAGAATTGAACACGTAGTAGTAGATGGGCCCATCAACTTTATGCTTGTCCTTGTCTAAGGTCTGAATAACTTCGTAACTGTCACGGGAAGAACAAAACAAGGAATACAAAAGTAAATATAATGTTTGTTAGCCGAATAGAGCATTTCACATAAAATGCAAGTCCTAAGTCCATCATAAAAGGGGAAATGAGAAAAAAAGGAAAGAGGGGAGAGAGACGGACACAAAATCAACTGGAAAAAGTATACTAACCTATGAGTCACGATGGCTAACTCACCACTTACACCTTGGTAAAACAAACGTTTCGAAGATGTTTAGAAAACACAAATGGAAATTGGGGAAAATTTTGGAATTTTGAATTCGAAACATAGGCCTAAACATATCAAAACATCTCTAAACAATCCGAAAAATAGGAATTTCGAGATTTTGTGGAACTGATATTTTGATCGTTGCAAATAGCTATTAAGGTCAAATATGGTAAAAAGAACAGCAGGAAAATTAAGTATCAACAGATGCAAAAGTTTAAAGAAGGTTAAACATCACAAATATAATTTGACTTTGAAGAAGGTTGCCACATATACAAAGGTTCTTTTGCAAACAAACCTACGTTTTCCATCAAATCAGAAAGTTGCCATACAGCTATTTCAAGCTATGAATAGTAGAACAAGAAAATTGGTCTGATTTTCAAATATCAAGGAGCATAACATCTCTTTTACCCTTGGGAATTGGGATTTCCAACAACGTTACTTCAATTGTTATTAGTAAAGAGTTCCGGCTTCAAGGACTAATCATCAGAGTCAATGCCCAATAAGACAACAAGGATGAATTTGTAGCATTATTAAAGCAACTTTCATGCATCTAGAAGCAAATTGACATGCTTTTTAATATCAGGTGCTTTAAACTTGGTCCCTTGGGCAGGAATACAATCATGGACAGTAAACAAACATAATTGACAAGTCATATTCCTAGGTTATATAAATCAAGTTTGCCATACGATTAATGAGAAAATATTTTTCAACACATCATTATATCTTTTTTTTTTCATAGGAAGCAAAACTTTAATTCGTTAAAGAAGGGTTACAAGAAAAAGGTGGACAAGAAACATCCACCCTGTGATAATTGAAAAAAGAGGGAAAACGCATCAAAGGAAAAAACATTGAACTCAGAAAAAATCCCATATTTACATGAAGCTATCCAACAATTCAAAGAAAGTGAAAAGGTACATCCTTGAACTCATTTTTAGTTGAAGCCCAAAGGGAAGACAAAAACTTTGCTCTATTCCAGAGAAACTCCACGATTGCTTCTTTTCCTTCAAAAATTCTATTATTCCTTTCCAACAATACCACCCGAAAATTGCCATGACTACAGCCACAATATGGATCCTCACAACTTTTCCCAAACACACCGCAATGTAATTTATTTCCAATAAGGAGGCACAATCTCTTGGACACACCCAACTCAATCCAAATTCATCCAAAGCTCTAAACCACAATTTCATCGCTACTAGGCAAGAAGAAAAAGATGATCCGCACTTCCACTACATTTCCTATAAATAATGCACCATTGCAGAGAAAAACAAGAGTTTTGTCTTCTCCTTTGCAACAAATTAGATGTATCCCTGTCCAATCAACATCAATTAATCATATTTTAGATGTATCCCTTAAAAAATCCATCAATCATGATTGCTTCTTTCGTTAGTTCATTTCACCTAATGCTCGTCTTTGCCAATTTTCTACAGTTTGAGGAAACCAATATTTTTGTATGATGTATTCATTCTAACCTGAACAAGGTTCAGTATTAAGAGTAATATAGCCAACAAAATGTTCCATCATCATATTTTCACCTTGTACTCCAGAGGACCCAAAATGGATAATAAATGAGGCGAAGTAGGATCCACGACAATACAAAAAGAATAAATGAAAAGCTAGCAAGAGCTTCAGCACCACCGTATTTGGACATCTTGCCTGCTTCGAGAAATACATCGCTAGCATCGTGAAGAGCCAAAACAACTGAACCAACACGTCCAAACCTGCAAGCAGAAAACATAAGAAGAAATAAGGTTTGATTCAATTGCCAAAGACGTTTTAGCAAAGTCACTAAGTGCTGGCATGAGATCTAAAATGGGAGGGCTGGGGTTAAGTGTATCAAAAACTAGAGTATTCATTCAATAATTAGTTTTTATTAGTCTACTATCCCAATTTTAACATTGCACTAGGAACTACACTACCATAGCCTTTTCCGGATAGACAATAAATATCCATAGGCCTAATATATTAACGACTTCATGTAATGCAATTCCTCTTGGAGTACTTTTCCAACAACTAAGTTTGAATTCAACTCGCATAATTACAATTTTGTATACAAAACGACAAGTAAAAGTTCATCTCCATTAAAACATACCTGAATATGTAAGATAACACAATGAGAATGGCAGTCGCGACATGATGACCCATTGACACCCCAAAGTCAGAACGCCTTGTTTCCCAAAAAATTAGAGCAAATATGGAGTATGTGTAGAATCCACCGGTATACATGTAGAGTCCCTTCAATTTCAACCTGAAGATCCGTGATACAGTCAATCGACTAAAGTCAGTATGCAAACACAAACTTTTAAATCCAAGTATCAAGACAAACAAGGGTGGAGAAAGCCACAATGGGTGCTGACTTAATTGATTGTCAGTGCATGGTATTTGAAACTCTTACTTGTATTTCTGGTCAGGCCAGACTTGATCTTCGGGCCCTACCCAAAAATATTTTGTTTTAGAAAACCAAGGCTCATCATAAGTCACAGCAAGTGCTAGAATCTCAGCCGACAGATAATAAACACATTTCCAAGCTGATTCCTTGAATTTCCTAATCTTCTTTCTTCTCTCATCCGTCTCAACAGCCAGCATCTGCTGCCCCTTTCCAAATATTAACCATCTTCCCAAATTCTGCAACATGTACATCCATTTCAAATTAAGCAAAGGTTCTTTGAGGAAGAGGGTAAAAATTGAAAGGGTTGGAGCAGTAATACCCACTACTCAGAGTAGGCTTATTCACATCTTGTAATTATAAAGGAAGTTCACAGGGAATAGGTGATGTGAATTGAATTGTCTTTCGTTATAGTAGAAGTAGACGTAGAATTAGGAGTTATTTGTCATTTTACTTTTTGGGACTTATTGCAGTAGTTGTTTTTCCTAGAACAAAGGGTATTTTGTAGTTTCATCTCCAGTTAGGTGTTCAAATGCAATGCCTGAATTTGCATGCCATACTGCTTTTCCATTGCCAGAGTTGTCCAAAATATCATCACCTTACATGTACTGAAGTTTTGCATTGCTTTTTTATAAGTCTTGCACAATATTTTGGTTAGATTAGGGAGGACAGGATTTCCAGCCTTCCACCCCTTTTCTTTCAAATTTGTTTGTGCCACTCTGATTGCGTATTTAATTTTGGAAGCGAAAAGCTGTGAACTAACCATTTTAAGAGCATAATTTTATTAATCATTTTGTTAGAGCATAATACTACCCTTTTCCTGCTTCAAATGGTCTTTTCATGTGGTAAGGCCCTAAAGTTTCAATTTCAAAATCCACAACTGGGCCAACAGAAATGGAATATCAGATGAACATAAGAAAGTTTTTGAATGCCCATCCTAGTTCTTTGAAATGAAAATGTCTTTTGTAATCACAAAATGATATGGCCTTAGTGATATTTTGTAACATTAATCATGTGAAGACCTAATCCTACATAAAAAAAAAACACTTCAAGTTGAAGGTAGAGAGGGTCAAGGGAAGGGAGGCAAATGGCAGGTCCGATCACATAATAAGCAAAGAACCGGAGGGCCTTTATGCAAAGAAGAAGTGTTATCCATATCCCATAATGAGCGAAAGCTCCACATGACCGGTCTAAAGAATTGTATAAGCCTTTAGTCCTTAGCCAGACTTCATAGTTGTTTTAGCTATAACTGAAATGCATAACCCCCTTTTCTTTTTAAAAAAAACAACAATTCAAGTTTACATGAGAACAAAGAAATGTCCACTTAATGTTCCTCTCTTTAGCATGCATTCTATTCAGCCTTCTGAAAATGATTAATACTTCTTGTAGAGTCCTTTATGTGCTAGAACAGTAATGTTATTTCAGGTCTTCTGTTTTTGTAAATTGGTGGTCCAAAAACCAGCTGGATGTAAGGATTCCCTTGTTAGTATAATTCAGCAAGCTACATCTTCCTCTCTGCGCAGGAGACATTGCATATACAACGGTAAAGTGCTGCCAAGCGTGAGAACGGGTTAAGGATTAGAGTAGCCACTTTGTATCAAAATATGCCAAAAATAGGGTATGTATCCAAGCTACTCCTCTCAACATATTATGGAAACAGAGACCACACTGAAGAATGGCATTACATCCATAATCACTGAAAGTTTTCCCTAACAATCTTTTGTCTTTTTTTTTCTACTTCCAATGAATTATGCGGTTTAGGATCCCAAATATTAGCACTGGAATTGAAGGACTGCACCATTGTCAACAGGAAGTGCCAGTTTCAAGACAGTTTCTTTCTAGTCATTTATCCACAAGTGATTGTCTTTCTTAGAAGCCAAAATATGAACTTTCTATGGCACAAGTATAAGGAAACTGCAAAGAAGAACAAGAAATAATAAAATTGTATCCAACATTCGAGTTTTTATAATCAACTTCATTCCCAATAATCAAGAAACCCATTCTGATTCATTCGGCAGAATGGAGCAAATGTATAGAATCCCACAAAATTCCAAAGCCAGTAAAATGGATTCAAACAATTCTAAACAAGGCTAATGTGTAACAAAAATTAACACCATAAACCCATACATCTAATAATGTAACAATACAGTACCTAACCAACTCATAGGTATTCTCACAAATGGAAAACCTATGAGCAATGCAGCATTTGATTGATTTGGAGAAAATGGAAAGAATATCACCAAATGGCATCCAATCCCACGAAAACAAATTTTGGACTTCGTGGATGACAAATAGAAATTCTATCAACACTGACATTGGTGCCACATATATATTTATACAAAAAGTTCGGTAGCATAATGTTCTAACTTTGAAGATTTTTGCGGTGAAAAAACATAACCTAGATATATGAGTAACAACTATATCATAACACACGTATGAAACCAATTCTTAACTCATCAAAATCAATATGGAATCCCATAATGATCCAGATACATGCATAACAATTATAGGATATATCTTGGATGAACCAAATACTTAACTCACTAAAATGCATGCGGTTTCACATAATAACATATAATGCTCAGGGGAATTAGGAACACTGTACAAGTATTCATCCTAGCTTGGTACTGTGAGCACGAGGCACACAGTAGTAGGAAAACAATCACAATCAAGGAAGTACAACCAAAAACTCTATAAGTAATCAACCATTTATTCACAGAATCCAAGTTTTGAATCTTAAACATACCCATTTACGGCGGCATGTACAAATACGCAGCATAGAAGGGCGAGTTTGACCGATCTAATTTACAATGCTCAAAAGTACTCAATCAAAAAGAAATACATGATCAAATTCAAAACCACTGCAGTGTACTAAAACAATACCGAAGATGGTACCTCAAAAACAAATCTGTCCAGGAAAAAGCGAACACATGGGAAGAAGATGACAAACAGGGGAAGAACTGCGAAATCTTCATATTGAGCATACGATTCCTGTTGCCAATCAATGGCACGAGCCAACTCAGCTATACCCATTTGTAAAATCCGCCAAACGAATCAGTATGAGTATATATCCGAGCTGGTGGATCGAATGTAGAAGCAGATAACCTCTGTCTTTCGCTCTCGTATTGTTAGCATATACCAATGGATTCTTCGAGGTCGTCTGGCAATTTTTTGATTGGTTGTCAGAGTATGGAACTGCCCTCTGTTTCCCTGAAATGCCATTGCATATAGTTATGGACATAATTGCCCTTTTGACAATGACATCAACTTGGGCTGAGCTTTAAAGTATGTGTTTTGCAGACAAGTTGGCACTTGTACTTACAGACTTACAGTTAGGGAAAGAGACAAAAATGGAAAAAAAGAGAGCAATAGTCAGAATTAATTTTCATCCCATACAATTTTTTTTTTAATTTTCTTTCCTTTAATCATAAGTTTAAATAGAACCCATAATATAAAAATAAGTTCATTTGTCATTAATGGTAGATAATTCATAAAAAAAATTAATAGGGAGAATTTCAATCAAATAATTTGAGCTAAAAAAAATGAGGTATTCAAATGGCTACTGGCCTTTGACCAAAGAAAAAAAATGACTATTGGCTCCATATAAATGACCAAAAATACTTACAATAAACCCGTTTGAAGATATTCTACGATATTAAAAATTAAATATTGGTCGTGTAATATTTATAATTTTTCAATTACTCAATTTAAAATTAAAGTGGATAGATGAAAATAAGAGAGAGGTAAATGTATATTAGTAGAGTTGTCTGACATTGAGGAGTGTGTTGGTTGAGTTGTTTGGCCTCGGAACCATGAAGAAAATATGATATTTTTGGATAGAATTTTTTATTATTAGAATGAATTTTGTACTATTAGATAACATTGGTGAGATTAGACAAATCTCAACCATCCAATGTTATTAGAATCGGACCGATCATCGAACTGGCTAGAGGACTAGGTCAATGATTCACTGGTTCAATCGGTGGTTTACTGGTCGAACCGGCCATATAATAAAAAAAATAAAATAATATATATAATAATTATAAAACATAATAATTTAGCTAAAAAATATAAAATATATCTAAAATGCATACAATTTGTCATAAAATTAATGAAGTTAAATAAAAGAAACACATGTGTCAAATATCAAAGTTGAACTTTAAAGCTCCAATCCAAGTACATAACAAAAAAAAAACCCAAAACTCAAACCACAGTCACTAGTTCTCTATTTAAGTTAAAAGTTTACATAAGAACATATCATCCAAATTATAAGTAAACATAAGTTGAACATCTAAAACACAATATCACAATGACCATGCAAAATAAAAGTACAACTCTTTAAATACTTGATAAAAGTTACACAAAGTACATTCTCTACTCATTCTTATTTTCCCAACGAGTACTCCTACTCCATGAACTCTAATCCACGTCAAACTCGAGGTTCTCATCTCCAATGCGATTGATATTTTTAATAGTAGTTGCATTCCCAAAACCTCCACTCCCATTACCTTCTTCATGATCAAGTTCATCATTGTCGTCATCCAATTCAAAGTTCAAGATTTCATCTACATTATATCCAAAAGAGGAATTATTTATTGATGTATCAAATAATAATTGTAGATATATACTTTTAGTGATAATGACAATACAAGAAAAATGAAACATACCAGTGTTGAGTTTTGGTTGGATATTGCATGCAGCTAATTCACGACGAAAACTTTCTACTTCATCTATAGTTAAACTTGGAGGCTCGTCCTCTAAAATTCATGAGGCATTAATTGTGAAATCTTCAAAGTCAATAGGATCATAATTTCTACCCCTCAAGTAATTCTTGTATATCGTCATTTACTTGATGAAAATATTTGAAATATGCAATCAATGAAATATAATAAAAATGTTTGAAATATGCTAACATAGATTTCATACCTTTGTTGTAATCTTAAGTTGTAATAAACATAAACAAGGTCATTAAGCCTTTGATGCTCCAATCTATTTCTTTTCTTTGAATGAATGTGTTCAAATGCACTCCAATTTCGTTCACAATCCAAAGAACTGCATGTTTGGCTTAAGACGCGAATGACTAATTTTTGTAAATTTGGTGCACTACTTCCATAACACAACCACCATTCATCCACATTCGATGCATCACAATCAAATTATAACATTTAAAATAAACTAAACACACTACTTGAATTGAATTAGTCAAAATTCAAAAGATACTAACTACCAAGAAGCATCGTATGTCGATCACTAATAGCAGTCACCCGCCCAAAGTCTCCCTCTGCATTTCTGAACAACTTTATCTCATTAGTCAACTTACTTCTTAAAATAGGATTTCTATAAGCATAACTCTCAATCACATCTAAGAGCCCTGAGATAATCTGTCTGTGCTTTTCCATTTCAACAGTGTTATATTGGTTACTCGGATTCAACCAAAAACCATCGGCATGCAGATTTTAGTGAAGCTGTCTATCCCAGCGAGAATCAATGATTTTCAAGTAAACATCTACTCTTTTCTTCTTTTTTTTAAATCTTCTTAACAGTTCCTCTCTAGCCGTATGCATAGCCATGTACAAATAACCCATTAAAGGCCTATCATCACTATCAACAATCTGTAGCACTCGAACAAGATAATCCAAAACCTAGAATCCAACACACTATCAACAAATTTTTTTCCCTTACTTTCCTTGGCATATGCCAACCCTGTCCATTCTCTTTGATGTAACCATAGCTCGTAAAACATCCTTTGGTGCCAAAATACTTTGCAATGCAATAAAATTGGTTGCAAAGCGTGTAGGAGCAGGTCTCAATATTTCCTTTCCACCAGTACGCTTTCTCATTAAATGTAAAGGAAAATAATGATTGTATATGTATTTTGTGATCTTTGAAGCATGAGATACAACATCATTTACCTCATCTAACTTTCCAATGTCATGCAACATCAAGTTCAAGCAATGAGCTGCACATGGTGACCAAGATATTGTGAGAAACTCTTGCTCCAATAACCTCCCTGCAACAACATAATTTGCAGCATTGTCAGTTACTATGTGCACCACATTTTCTACACCAACAAGTAACACCACCTCTTTAAATAATTTAGATAACATATCAGCTGTCTTTGAAGCATCAGAAGCATCAACTGACTTTAGAAACACTGTTCCTCTAGGAAAATAGGCCAAGAAATTAATGAGAGTTCTCCTACATTGATCTGTCCGCCCATCAGTCATGATAGTGCAACCAGTCTCCTTCCATGTGGTTTTAAAACTATGAACAAATTTTTTTACTTCTTCGACATTCTTGTTCAACAAATAACCACGAATATCATGAAAGTTAGGGCCTTTATAACCACCACCATACCTTGTTACTGCGTCAAGCATAGGTTGATAATACTTGGAATTCACAGCATTAAAGGGAATGCAAGCATCAATCATCCATTTAGAAACAGCAAGATCACACATTTCTTTTGCCTCCTTACTTTATAACACACTTTTAATAGTAGGTTGAGCACCTAGAGTAGTCCTTGGCACAAAGAAAGAGCCAATTGTTTGACCCTTTCGTCCTCCATCCATTTTAGGTGTTGATTTACCTCGACTTCCTCCAATGGAAATGCCCTTTCCCTTAAAAGAGGATGTAATTTCTTGAACATTGTCATTCTCTTGCATGTACTCCTGTTCTTCATATTGTCTAAACTCCAGGCCATATTGATTTAATTCCTCGTAATCTTCTTGTGTCTTTCTTTTCTTGTTACCAATATTTTCTAGGACTAATTTAATCTTAAGGCTCACATCGGGAGGACATCTAATATATCGTTCTACCGCTCCTTTCATCCCCGCCAAATGTTGTTTGAATCTATTGATTCCACCACCCTTTATAACCTTTTGGCAATATAAACAAATTAAATTCCTCCCTTTTTTTGAAGGAACAACATCTTCCTGACAATGTTCCTATGTAGGGTCAGTTTTTCCTCTAACTGCAGCTTGTGTAGAGGAAGAGTTTGGTGTAGCTGTAGAACTAGTTGGGGTTGGAGTAGATTCATTTGGTGTCCCAGAAGATGACATTTTGCTAGATCAAACAAACTGAAAGCATAAAATCTACAATGACAACAAAAATTCCAATTCACAATCTTAATAGATCACAAATAGACAATAACATCAATAATAGATAATTTCAATTGCCCAATAGAACTAAGCAAGTCTTAAAAAAATACATTGATTTTGTGATGCTCAAAATCACCCAACAAAGTGCAGAAATGAAAAAAGACATTACTTTGATTCTTCTTAGAATTAATATGGTTTAGAATGAAATAATGAGCATTGGATTTAACAAATACATGACCAAACATTCCACTGACCCACCATTTTGTTTAAGAGTCAAAACCAATGAAATCAAAACCATTCAAGAGTTAAAACTATAACTTATTTATTGAATTAATGGACGATTGACGGTGAATTAATGTTCGATTGAGTTTAATACTATAACCTGTTTATTGAAATCAACCACCATTCAAGGGTCAAAACCAATGAAATCAAAAACCAAAGAAATCAAGTTTGACAGATGCACAAACCACTTTTGTTTACATCCAAAATAAACCACCAGTTTTGGTTACTGAGATATGAACTAATGAAAGGAAGTTTTACCTTAATTTACAGCCTGATGTCACCTGAGTTTGCCTGCTGGCTGGAGCCTGTCGCCTCGCCTGGTCGTTGATCACTATGGCTGATCAGTGATTACAGTCAAAGATCCCTGGACTGGAGCCTGATCGCTGGAGCTGTGGCGGTGGTGGTGCTAAGTCCTTGGTCGAAGACGACGAAGAGTCTGATACTCTGATCGAAGACGATGAGGAGTCCTTGGTCGAAGATGGCGGTGGTGGTGCTGAGCTTGATCGAAGATAACGAAGTTTGCTGGAGCCTGGCAATGCCTTCGTCGCTGGAGCCTGGCAGTGGATCTGCAATTTACAGATTTAGGGCAAAAAAAATCCCAAAATACCAACAATAATATAGATTTAATTAGTTTATGTAATTTAATTTTTAAATGGGCATTAAACCGTCCGGTTTCTAAAAAATCACCAGTTCACGATTTTTGTTAAAAATCGGTCGGTTCATGATTTTTGTTAAAAATCGGTGGATTTTCCAGTTTTTAAGCGATTCACTTCCTTAAGCGGTTCAATTAAGGAATCGGACCGGTTAAGGTCCCGGTTCACGGTTGAACCGGTCCGGTCCGGTTCTGATAACACTGCAACCATTACAATAGTTTTATAAATATGCAATTCAATTTTTTTTTTTTTTTTGACATGCAACAGAAATTCATTATTAGTAAAAGATAGTAATCTCATCTTGTAGGATGGGTACTAAGAAATTTGATACCTCATCTCGCCATACAATACACTAAAAATAAGAACTAGCATATTTAGCTACGATATGGATGGTTTGATTACCCGAACGTCTTACCCACAAGGCCTAGAATTGATTGATATTGTAAGTTTAAATAGATTCCTAAATGTAACTATCTCTAACTGGTTGGATCAGGCACCAATTACCCAAGATTGGTTCGGGGCATCGGACAAGCACTATGAAAATATTTTTTGTTTTTTAATTTTGGAATTTGATAGGGGCAATGAACCACGTCGTGGAGTCGTCAGAATGCACGTTGAGCTAGTAGACCAAAAATCATGACCCATGACCTTATTCACCTTAGTTGGCCCTAGTCGACACTAGGACCGATGATGTAAGAAACCCAAAGTGTGAGGTGTGTGAATTTTGATTGAACTGAAGAGCTCAAGATTTACAAATACTAATGTGTGAATGATCCACATGTGGTTGAGCTAGAAGGCCCCGTAAAATACTACAATAAACATAAAAAATAGGTAAGAATTAAAAGATTAAAGAATAGCACCCAGATATTAGTTCACCATCTGATCAGCTAAAGAGCTTAGTTAACCTACTCATAACATTTTTCTTGTAGATATTACAATTGCAGAGATTAATGATGAGTCCCAAATCAATTGGGCCAAACCTAATAAGTCAAGAAGGCCTACGTCAACTAAAGGGTGGCCCAGATCTACTTTGCCTCTCTGATCTAGTTTGACCCAGTTCAAGATCCAAGAAGTCCGGAGAGATTGGAGCACGTGGGAGAAACTATTGAGATACGCACTTATGAAAATTCAATCTTACCGTAATTGTACTTACCAAAAGAACAGTGTCATCTCCCTCACGTCACCGCCTCACCATACCTATATAAATGTAAGCCTTCTCCACTTAGAGGGTATCGCCTTTGAGACCTCAACATACCTTGACATCTCAACACACTCCTCTACACACCAAGTTTCTCTCTCTTAGAGCATTGTAATTCTCCTGGATTATACTCTCTCAGCGACTTTTATTCATCAATAAAGACCTCTGGCCACCGTTATCGTTCCTGAGAGTAGACTAGGTCACCCAGACCGAACCACTATAAATCTGCGTGTTTACTTTTATTTACTGTTTTGCCATTGATTATCTTATTTACTGCTCATTAATTGCATCTTTTCATATACTCAACTGTTGATCTTGCACAAGACCAATTTGTGTATCATCAATTGCAATTGGTATGTCTTGTATGAGGGAATGCTTTTTTTCATTTATATCCATGGGGTGATTCTCACATCATCATCTCATATTGATATGATCCTTAAGTTTGTTAGGATTTTGTTGAAGAAATATTTGACCATTAGATACTACATTGCCTAGGTGTGACGTGATCTTTTAGAACATGTTGATGTGACATTATGACCAATCTTCAAGCTTGGAAAATTTGTTGTCTTCTATATCTACGAAAGGTTGTAATGTGAGGTCATATTGCTTGTGATGACCCCTTATTTTTTTAGTCAAACTCGTGAATAAAGGGGCTCAACCCAAACTCTTAATCCGAACTAGAACTCTGACTTTCCTCATGTGATGAAGTGAATGACTTGGGTCATAGCTGTCCAAGGTCGTTCGTGGATGACGTGGTTATTAAATCTTGCAACAGGTGATATATGGGGATGTCATTCCGATATTATTCTTGGCATCATGAAGGGGCAACTCTTGGGCTACTAGCCATTTGTTGACTTTTACATAACAGTATTTTGGAAAGGCTGGATTTTTATCGTAGGGGTTGTGGCAACCAATTTGCTACTTTTCATTGTAGGAGACTCTGTCATGGCTTTGACCCTTAATACTTTAAACCATTTCGTAATTAGCTTTTCTAGTAGACTATGCTTTAGTCATTACAGCATAGGCTTATGTACATGTAAAGGTGAGAGAAAATTCCTACTCTAAGCAATATGCTTGCAGAATAAGGCAGAATGCGATTATTGAAAAAAGAAATAGGTTTTAGTCTTTGAGAATATTTATGATAGGATCCATCGATAACCACATAGTCTAGATAGATATATATAATGCTAAGCAAGAGTGATAGATTTCTAAGGATATTGATGAATCTTTATGAATTTTATTAATACCATCGCAGATTTGCCGATTTAGACATCGATTGCTGCAAAGTGGGCTTTTGCAGTCAGCAATTATGGGAACCAACATTTTATTGTTCATGGATGAGAAAAATAGTTGATGTTAAGGTTATTAGTATCTTCTCTGTTTGTCACCTGTTTTTATTTGCCAGAACTAAAGATGGTGGGTGGGTTGCTTGGAAGAACTGCCTCTCTCTCTCTCTCTCTCTCTCTCTCCTAAAGCTTAACGGAAGATCTCCAAAGGAGAGGTCTGAATCAGAAACTGTTGCGTTTATTCCAATGTTTATATCAATCCAACTTCAGAGGCTTTTTCTGTTAAAGAAGACACTAGATTTCAGGGTATTTTATCAACACATGGGCTTTCATTTCAGAAATTGAATGTTTAGGCTTGGATAGAGAAGTTATTTTCGACTTTCAACCAATTAAACTTTCATAGTCCCTCTGGTTCTGTCATAATGTTGGGCAGTATGAAAGATGTTTATTCTTCAATTCTGCAACAAGAGAACAACACCCACCCCTCCCCCACCCGTGCGCATGATGCTTGGAGATGTTTATTCTTCAAATCCAGTGCAATAATAGAACCACACCCCCTCCCCCCTCCTCCCCCGGGGGTGGTTGTGGTAACAAGAAGTAGGGCCTATCTTGGAGAAAGCAAACAAAATAGTACTGTGGGCAAGAGAATGTTGTCTCAATACATGTCAAAGAATTTCCAAAAATTTATATTTACATGGAGCAATCGCCAAAAGGATAGGCACTACCAAGTGGCAAGAATAAAGCAAAGGTCCTATCTTGCCTGTATTAATAAGATAATATGCTAAGGGAAGAAATAAAAGTGGGGAACAGCCACAGAATACCACCAAAATGATAGACAATCATAGAATTCTCATCCCCTTTGGATGTAACTCTTCCAGCCAACAACCCCCTCACTAGTGCCAATAAAATGATGTAACAAAATAAAGATCAATACATAGATAAGTCACGGGAACGAAAATGTTTCGAAAGCACAATGGAAATAAAGAAAAAAGTTTAGAATTCTGACTGTGAAACATTTCAGAACGTTGGCCAAAAGCATAATGAAACACGAGAACTTCAATTTTCCATCATTGTTTCGTATCTGTTTCCTTTGAAACTGAAAAGGTTTGGTGAAATGAAACGGAATCTCGATCAAGATCTAATGACTGTAATGTGAATCATAGTTTGAGAAAAATTACTGTGCAATCCTCATGTTCATAATCCAGTAAGATAAAAAGACAAAAGCCTGTTTTATGAGGACACATATATAGCAAACAAAGGACAAAAGAGAAGCAGCAAAATGACCTTTTGAAAACCTCAACCATCCAACCTGATATAAAACGCCAAAACTCAGTAGGGTTCCATGTATGTTTCACATGAAAAGCTGCTTTGTAGTTGATGACAAGACAGAAAATTAATGGTGTTCACAATAAAAGAGTAGTGAAGTGGCCATCTTGTAGCTACTTGAGATCATTGGTCTTATATGCTCTTTCCCATATGGAGAGTGGGGCTCATCCGTATTCCAATTTCAAAAGCTGCTTTGAATTTATGAGGCAGGCAGAGGAGTAAAGGAGATGGTGTTTTCTGGTGTGAGGTCTAATGAATAAGGGAGCAACCAGTTCCTTCAAATTCAGCAACTGTTTTTTGTTCACATAAGAGTTGTTCACCTGTATTTTGCATAAAAACCTGTACACCGATAATAAAGGCGTGCAAGGTGGTGAAACTTATTCAGGGATCATGGGATGGAACTCTTTGTAATATGCATGGAAGAGTAAGAGATAAAGAATGGTAATGGGTTTCTCTGTTGAAGAGGATTGATTGCAGGTCACTTACACAAAGGTACTGGGCTATTTACTAGACCCTTGCCTGCTTTCTTTTCCGGATAATTATCCATCTCTTTTATTGTTCTTTAGCAATTGAAATGGAGTCCTCTAAAGTCCTTGGATGTACAGAAGAATGTAGCAGTAATGAGTCTGGGTGGACAATGTATATTGCCTCCCCCATTCAAGAAACTGAAAATTCTGATAATGATAATAACAGTAGTGAGGGAAAAGGAGATAAGAATGCTAATGATGGCAACAATGACGATGATGATGAGAGCGATGACTCAATGGCTTCAGATGCCTCTTCTGGTCCGAATCATCAAGGACTTTTTTCTGAAAGCGTCAAGAGAAGTCCTGGCGTGGGTGTTTTCAAACATGTGGGGAAAAATCAAAGGAAGTGCTCAGCCAAGAAACCTCATCAACAGGTGAAGAACCTATTAGATATGAAGATAAAAGCAGAAAAAGAAAAGCGAGGAGGCAGGTCAGATACTGCTACTCCTTATGCTTATGGTGGAGCAAAGGTAAGAAAACTTAACTAGGTGGATGAAGGAAAAATTGAGGTGAATATTTTCCATTGAATCCTTCTAGATTGATCGCTTATCTCTTTACCTATAGTTTTTCTCTGGTAGGAAGCAAGGCAGATCCATGTCTATGTTTTAAGGTTTTTAAGTTCCAGTTTGAATGTTGAAATAAAAAGGGCATACTTAGTGCATGAGGCTTCTGCCATTGCGGAGTTTGGGGAGGGTTATATTTACATGGCCTTTGTGTTCAATGCAGGAATATAATCAGCCATGATTACCTGGCTCGTGCATGTAAGCATCATAATTGTGCATGTGCAACTACCTTTGTGTTCAATGCAGCATAAATACATAACCTTATGCATTAGATTTATATGCAATGATGAGTGTGTATGAATAAAAACGAAGCATATATGCAAAACAAGGCCTTCTGGGACATAAAGTGCAGCCTCAATTCATTTCAGAATGCTAGTCCCCAGCTTTATGACAAACAAACATGTCCTTACCAGTTTGGCTTGTTCAACTGGCTCATCAATTCTTCTTGGGGTAGCCATTTCCTTTTCCTATTCAAATGTTCAATTGTAATTCTAGATATTCATTGACAGAACTGGACAAAAATGGAAGATAGAGGTCCAACAGATTTGACATGAGGAAATAAGTCATTAGTGAAAGCTACAAAGAAAGATATCTGCAGCAGAATAAACAGCAGCAGCAGCAGAAATTGTCACCAAGATGTTCTTGAAGAGTGAAACCATCGAAAAGAAATTAACTCATACATAAGTTCTACAGTGGTGAAGACTCGAGAACATCTACAAACTCAAATGGATAGCCAAACAAACCTTCTTAGGTGTGGGAGACAAACAATTTAAATAGTATGAGTTAGAATCAGTCCTTGCTTACAAGAGTATCAGACAACTAGCAGAGTGGCATGTTAGAAGTCCAATTTGAATTCTGTGCTAGGTGTGTTATTCGAGATAAGGTACTTGGGCTTGGCTTGAATAAGACTCAGCTCGAGCTTGACTTGTATTTTAAACGAGCAAATTAAACAATTTTTAAAGTTTATTTAGTAAAACAAGCCTAAAAAAGGCTCAACTTAAAATCGTAAAATTTGGCTCATTTATATGTAAAATAGTCAAGCTACTTAGATTTGACTCATTTTCTAAATAAATCGAACTTGAACAATTTATTAGACTCGTTTAGAAAAACGATTTCGACAGGATCGGGCGCAAGCTCGAAGCTCGGCTCGATTAACACCTGTGTCTGTTGCTACAGAAATTGAACCATTTGTACTCCAAAATCCAAATTAAGACCAATTACATGCAAACACATACAGGAGAAGCAAAGAAACAATTCATATATCCGTAATCACAATAACCTGTACACGAAATCTGCTCACAAGAAGAAAATGTTACTCATGATAGAATAACTTCAACTGTGTTATGCAAAGCAATAACCTGAAAGGCAAAACTAGCACCTGAAAGAACCCCCACAAAAGAAAGAGAACATTAATATAGTTGTAATTCAGATCAAGAAAATCAAAATACAAAAGGTGCACATTCCTAACAAAAAGCATAATTGGTAGCAAAAGAGAAGGGGAAAAAAAAAAGTAGGTAGGAAAGAAATGAACTTTAAGATCCAAGTAGCAGATTTCAAAAAGCACCACAAAATTTACAATGTTTTATTAAAGTAGCAGATTTTATTAGCAGATTTTTTTTATTTTTGTGGTACCTTACAATGTTAGGATCCATCCCAATTCCCAAGTGCCACAAAATTGTTAAAAAAAAATTCAAAAAAATTTTAAAAGTACACATAAAAATGATAAATTATTTATAAAAGTTATAAATATTTTTATTATAAAATAATTTACAAAATAATAAAAACACCAGTAATAAAATATAGAAATACCGTACTAAAATTTATTTTGGATACCGCAGTCTTCTCTCGCACCATAACATGAGGCTGACGAAGTGAGAGAACAGATGCGTGAGAACCACAAATTTCAAAGAAACAGATACTGATTATATCACACCCATTACCATGTAGATGACTATAGTCACTCTCTCTTTCTCTTTCATTTGTCTCTTCTAAACCCAAAAAAAAAAAGAAGAAAATTTGACCCAAAATGCTTCTTCACGGCAACATGATCTCCAATCCTGCCCGTACCCACCTCACCCTCAAAACCTCTCACACCCACCACAGAAACTTGACCATTTTTGCCCAACAACCCATCACCACCGCCACCTGCTCAATCTCCGACGAAGACTTACTATCCCGAGGATTCAATCTCCACCGTTCAATCAGCCATCTCAATCTCGACCACCTCAACTCCGTCTTCGTAGCCGTCGGATTCCCAAAACGCGACACGACCAAAATTCGCGTAGCACTGGAACACACCGACTCTTTGTTGTGGATCGAGTACGAGAAAACAAGCCGGCCGGTGGCGTTTGCCAGAGCGACGGGTGACGGCGTGTTTAATGCGATAATTTGGGATGTGGTGGTGGACCCCAGTTTCCAAGGGATTGGTTTGGGGAAGGCTGTGATGGAGAGGTTGGTGAACGAGCTGTTAGAGAAGGGGATTACAAATATTGCTTTGTATTCGGAGCCCCGAGTTTTAGGGTTTTATAGGCCCTTGGGGTTTGTGGCGGATCCGGATGGGATCCGAGGGATGGTGTACACGAGGAAACAGAAAAAGAAAAAATAATTACCCCAAGGAAGAGAAAATGTTATTTTTTATACATCTCAATTTTACCCACTTTATGCATTGGTTTTGAGATTGAATTATTTTGTCTTAAAAGTCATTTTCTAGTTGTGAATATTAGATTGAGACCCTCTCTAATATGTTATTCTTTTAATTTTTTTTTTAAAGAATTATTTACCATTAGTGAGTAAGAGACCCATTTACATATGATAAGTCTCATTTAAATATATGAATTTATGTAATAATATTTATGATAGAAAATTCGAAAATTTCTCAATATCGTACACCATCATACTAATTTGTATGGTCCAATTGTTTATGAGACGAATCTTTTTGGGGTTAAACCATAAATTTTTATTCATAACGTGAAAAGTCTATTTTTAATGGACCAGAAAAAAATTAATCAAAATTCGCATAAACTAATCTAAATACCCTGCCAAGTCAAATTGAATGATCCGGCTTTTGGGGAGTCTATCAAATCCAGGTTCAAACTCAAATTCTATATTTGTGGTAGAGAATGGTTTGGATCCTGGAGTAACTCGAAGGTCAACTTAGTAACTACACTATGCCCAAGTAATTTGCAGGCAACGACTCTTTCTTCACCAAACCCTGCATCATATCAGCATTAGGCTTCCAAAGAGCAGGAATCTTGAGGTACAAAAACCAAATTCATTGCATTGGAAATATTGGCCTTTGCTTGGCCACAAAGGCCTTCAACTGTCCTGCAAGACTTATGCTACTTCCAAAACATTCACAAGTTCTGCTAGAAACTGACCCGTGGCTTATCTGGAATAGGTAATGGTTTCAACAAGTAAGCGGTTTTTTGCCACTCAACCCTGTCCTGTTGACAAAGAGGACAGGTATTTACAAACTGTTCAAAATCATCCTTTATATTAGGCCAATAAAAATTGAGAATTGCCCGGATGCCCTGTCACATGGGGTATCCTGATTCTTGCTCAGAAGTTTACCACGTCTCAACTTACAACTGTTGGGATGTAAGGTCGTTGGCCTTTAGCATAGAGGACTCCGTTCTCTACCCAAAATTGTTGAGTGACTCTCTCTCACTTTTATCACTCATCAAATCTCATGCATGTAGCAGAAATGTAGAGAATAAACCTGATTGGTACAAGAATACATGTCATCCTACCTTCACATATCTTCCTGTCTTGGAGTATTGACATCGAGGAAAACTAAGGAAAATTTCCCATTTATGGACCAATGACATTGAGCACCTATGAACCCTGAAACAATAGAGGTTGCTTGAGCTGTTTCACCTTAACACTGAACTTGTTGAGGTCTCTATGATTAAGAATCATGTTAAGTAGAAATTATGCTTTGATAAGTTCAGACGGTAAGCCTAGCTGTTACACTTGCCAAAATCCAACTCAGAACCCTCTTCACGGGATCAGTCAAGAATCAAACGTGGAGGTTAAGGGTGTGACTAGAGGGAAGGAATGGCCAAGTAGTTAAGAAAGTATTGCTGCATGCTGATTATAACACTGCTATCAACTATTTCAAGTGCCACCTAAAGCAAGATTGAAGTGCATGCAAATTTAACGGGGGGGAATTTTTTTTTGGTAAAGGTGGGTGGTTACTATCATTCTGGTGAATCTTCTGCCAAGCACGGAAGCACCAAGTTTTATTTTGGTGGTGTAGCAAAACTTCTATAAAAGGCAATGGTCCACCGCACCATGTTAGTGCAACTACTACCAGGGCAAGTGGGTGAACCCCACGGATTTCATAAAAGAAAATAAAATTCATCACTTCAAGGACATTTCTCTGAATTTATTGCCTTTTACTGGAAGAATTCCCACATTCTCTTGCTACATATGAATAGTGGGAGTCCGCAATAAGCCAATAACGAAAAAAGTCACAAGACACTAAATATGCATAAAACCATTGGAAAACACTGACATAAGACATCTATGTTAATAAACTCGAGTCTACATTCCCTTTCCAACTTAAGACAACAACACAAACAGTTGGATACACAGGCTGACTCTGCTCAGCCCCTTTCATTTTGAGATCATTTCTTCATGCCGGTTCCAAATGGTACGAGCGTCAAAGCAGGTAAAGATCTACACGAAATGTATCAAGAATTAAACCGTACTCCCCCCATAGTGGTATATCTTTGCTGCAACCAGGAGGACAAATAATCACTCAATCACCCCTTCTCATAAATTGATCTAGTAGTTAGACAGAGAGAAAATAGACATTTGCCATGAAATCACAAAGATGAAGTGAAACAAGAAAGTAGAAAGCTAAACAGTCCCAGAGGATATCATTATTGAATACTGATGTATATCAACTTGAGTCAATTTGCACACATCACTTCAAGAAAATCGGTCCTCAGTATCAATCGTCAGATAATTTGTCTAACAATAATGCTATATTGACTAAATTTTAGGACCAAATTAAAAGCCCAAATGACATGACACCAAATAAAAAAACCCAAGTCAGCTGCCATGTCATTTGGGCTCTTAATTTGGTCAATGTAACATCACTGTTTGTCTAAAAGAAAAGGTAGAATACTATGTAATTGCCCAACCCAAATCCATCAGATAGCCTATTTGTGCAAACAAGGTTGTAAATCTTCAGCATTTTCAAATGTTTCGCTACAATAGTTTTTGGCATCTTGCCTCGACTATGAGCAAAGCATCACAGGCTAGTGTATTTCTGTAAAAAAAAAAAAAAGTTTATTTCTTAAGAGATTTGCGAAAATTTAAATAACACTGCCACTGTATGCTGGAGTGATTGTCCTAAATGATCTAGAGGACTAGAACTGTTCTTCTAAATTCCTAGTACTGTTTTGCAACACATGACCATAACTTAAAGAAAAATAATGATCGAATAGGAGAATGGAAGGAAAAACCATGTGATGCTGTGTCGGAAGCAGGGTATGGTTCTAATTGTGTCTTAGCTGGAGAAAGTTTTCTAAGAAAAATGGAAAGAAAACCGCATATCACATAAACAAAAGGCAGAACTTCAACAAGCAATCTGCATAAAGAATGAATTAACAGTGTTTCCCTTGCTAACACGTCTAAACATAATTGCACAATAAACCAAGGCTCCAAGCAAACTGACTATCTCACTAGAGGATCAGCAGTTGGCCTAAATGCCACCGCAGCCCACTGTTGGACCGTTAGATTGCAGGTTTGAACCTCACCGGCCCTTCCTTGTAAAATTAAAAAAAAACTGACTATCTCACTATGAATAGTGACAGCGAACTCAATAAAACCCTAGGAAAAAGAAATGGCATTCTTTCCTGCAACAAAGCAGAAGGGTATTTTCTTAAAAGGCAACGAACAAATATCAAAGCTAAAAAAGAACATCATTCAGTTAAACATACAAAGAAATTCACCGGAATGTTGTTAATTTTCAAATCCTTTCTGTCAGATTTGAAAAGAAAATACATTTAATTGTTGCAAGGAGCCACGAAATAAACTATAATGTCATTCAGTAGCAATAAATAAGTCTAAACCATAGAAATCAAAGAAATTCATCAAGACCCAGAAATTAAAATACAAAGAAAATCGCATCAGTGCCCTTAATTTCAAGCTGGTTCAGTTAAAAAATAAGCGAGAGAGAGAGAGAGAGAGAGTGCCTTCGTATAAGGGGGATCAAGGGAGGCCCTTGGCATTGTGCCAGAAAGCAGCAGAGCAAAGAATTGAAGCAACGACTGAGAAGATACCCAAACCAATCATCAGAGACACTCCTGCTACTACCAAGTCCAAAAGCCCCTGCACAGTCACTCCCATCATCAACATCTTCTTCTCACTTCTTTGCAATGTAATCTTATGTTCCTATTGCCGTTGTTATTTGCACAAGCACCGCCTATATAAGAAACTGGGTAACTCTGAGTTATCATAGAGAGAGAGAGAGAGAGAGAGAGAGCAGAGAATCCACAGGAGTTGCAGGAAGCGCCTTGGGAAGGTCGACGCAAATCGTCTCATATGTTTGGACCAACCAGTGGAAAAAATATTAGATCATGATGTAAAACAAATATACCTTAAAATTCATTACCACCAATATGCCCTTTTTTTTTTTTTTATATCTTTTTTATTATTTTTTTATAAAATGGTTATATCCAATTTATTCTATAGTTGATTCTTTTAATATGGGCTCAAGATCATGCAATATGATCCAATTTATTTTAATAAAACATACCCTCATACTTAAGTAATATGGTCTAATTTATATTAATCAAACAGAATCCCTCTTAAGTTCTTGATTTAAAAAATAAATAAAATAACGGCCAAATGGTTTAAATTTCACTGTCATATTTAATATTTTAATCACAATAAATATTTTAATCTTTTATTTGTATTTTAACTACTCACTTCTATTTTAATCACACTAAAAAAAATGTGCGAGTTAGCTCTAGTATTCTTTTAGGCTAACAAGATCCTAAGTGTCTGTTTGAGAATGGGGTATGGAGGGTTTAACAAAATCGGTTTGAGGAAATTATCAAAACTCTCCTAAATCTCATGTTTGTATGAAAAATTCAGTATTGAATTTTCAAACTCGGCCGTTAACTAGTCCAAAGATTAAATTCATGATCATGAGTTTCGTTAAACTTAAGGGATGTGTGGGTTTGAGAAGATGGACAAAGAGTTAACGATCCAAAAGATAATTGTACCTTTAAACATGGGTATAAATTGAATTGACCAGGGTTAAAATAATCATTTACAAGATAAATAGTTGTGAATAATTATGATATATCCGTAGGTCTTACATGTATATGTGTTGTATACTAAACAAGGGTATGAACCGGATTGAATGTTGAATATCATCTTTACAAAAAGGGTTTTGAGTTTGGAAGGATTTGAAAAAGTCAATCCAAACCCCTCCCCCAAAATTCATCCAAACAAGCCCTAAGGGTGTCTTTGGTTTAAGAATTAGGAATGATTGAATTAGATAATGTCGTTCATCCCTTATCTATTTATCTGGCAATTGGACTAATTATAGCTATAATGGTTCCTCATTCCATGTTTGATTTAAATATTAATAGTAATGAGCCCCACATTCATCTCATTCAGTATTTTGTTTGGATGAAGTATTGAATGATAGTATAAACATTAAATTACTAAAGAACCTTCAAAATAAAAAATGATATTTATATCCTAGAAATACATGAGAGTAAAATTTTTTTTTGACCAAATACATCCCAATTGGATTATTTAAACCCACCATAAAAGTGGGTTTATTTAAGAGATTGTATATAGTATTAAATACACTATTTATGCGGACCGATATTATTTTTAGATGATAATACCGGGCCAAAAAAAATATATCTAAACATAAGTATAAGAGTGATAAAGTGAACCCAATGTTATTTTTTCTAATTTCTCTTTGTTAATATCTAAAGTAAACACACCAAAGAGGAGCCCAACATCTATATCTGACGAAGGAATTTGGTGTATACCAAAAAAAAAAAATAGTAATATTACCTTTCTGATTTTATATCTTCATCACTCAGATGAAATCACAGAGCCTGAGATCTCAGAAAGTGAAAAAAGCAGAGAGTAATTTTTAGTAAATTTTTTTTCCAAGTTTGGGAATACATTAAGCATTTGTGAACCTTTCATCATCTACCTTGATTTCGGGTTAAATATTTTATTAACACGAACCCAACTCACCTCCTGACCACTAAAAAAAAAAAAAAAATTATCCATGCCTTCTAGGCAATAGAAATCTGACATTGTTGGGAATGCCAGGATTTAGGTGAGAAATCCAACATGACCCATAAATTTTTTCTGTGGAACCGACTTATCCAATCCTCGTCCAAAAATATTTTTAGATTTCATTTGAGTTGTATAACATTTTCCTTATATCGGATACGTTTCCTTCTTCACTAGATGGTTGCTACTCTTAGGTAAATTATCTTGAGACAATCAGAGTTGCTACGAAGAAGACAACATGCTGTACACAGCCTAGCCTGGACAATATCATCCTCTGTTATGTTTAATGGCACACTCTCCTCTCCTCTTCATTTACTCTGCCTTATCACTTATCATTCTCCTTGGGCCAAGCAAGCATCAAATCATTATTGCAATTTGCTGCTGCTGCTCTCTCTATCTACCTCCCCCCCCCCCCTCCCCCTCCCCTCTCTGCCCTCCCTCTTACAGTAAATTTCAACCAATACATATTTGCGTTTTGAGGAAAATTACAGAGAGTGTTGTGTTTAAATGTGACCAGAAGCTTCTTTGTAGCTGAGCCATAATGGCTGAAGTGAAGCTCTTTGGTCATGGCTCTAGTACTCAATGTAGTATTAGAAGTTCTATTGGCAAGGCACAACACCAACGACCATATTTGGTCTAATAGTATTTCTTATTTTGCGAAAAATTTTAATTTTTTTGAGGCCACGAATTTAAGTTTTATTTCCCTCTCCCCAAAAAACAAATATTGACAAGGTAGGACTATACTAGACTGATTTCAGCCTTGATTTGGCATTAAATGGGTTATAATTGAACATTAAATTTTTAGTTAATTATTTAAATTTGTAGTGTCATGAAATCATAAATAATTACATTAAAATTGAATTTAAAAGTTAAATCTCATTTATTTATTAAAATAAATAATTACAATGATTAATGCGCATAAATTGCTTCACATTAGTGTTAAACTTCTTGAATAATATTTTCATAATTTGGGTGACATTTGTTAATGTTTTATTTTGTGTTTGTTTGATGTTTAATTTTTAATTTGTTTTGTGTTAGCTTTTGAACTTTTAAAAATAAAAGAATGTTTGGCCCCCATTATGTTTTTAGCAAAATAAAAAAGTAAACAAAAACAGAGTTAAACCCAGCACACCCCGGTTATGGACACAACTGTTTTTAAAAGTTGTTTATATTTATACAATAAAATATAATATAATTCAAATTTCAAAAGATAAATAAAATAATTTTTACTTTTCGGGGTTGATATCATTTTAAATTTTTCTTTACAATTAATCTGATGGTTAATATCAACACCTTAAATTTAATAGAAAAAATAAGTTTTTTTTTTTTTGTCTACGGAAAATAAACCTCTAAAAGTGTATTTAGGGTAACTGTTTAAAAGTGTTTATAAGACTTATAATTTCTCATAAATATTTTTTTTAAAAAAATAATGTTTAAATTGCCCCACTACTTCCACCACCATCACCACTACCACCGTCATCCTACCCCCCCATTGCTCCAACACCATTAGCATCGCTGTCGTCGTCGCTACTCCACTACCACAACAACTATTACCATTGCTGTCACCCCACCATCACCACAACACCCACTGCCCCACCACTGTTACCGCCACCTTACCACCGCCCCTTACCGCCCCCACCACCACCAACACTACTATCGTCACCTTACCATTACAATCACTATCACACCATCATTCTTACTACTACAACCCTCATCGCACTACCACCACTATCACCATTGCCCTTACTGCTGCCACTATCACAACCATCACCATCTTCCACCACCACCATCATTGTCATCCACCACCACCATTGCACGCCTCAATTACAACCAGATGCTTAAATTTTTTTTTTTTTTTCTATCTTTATAATTTGATTTTAGGTGTGAATACAAATATATTTATTGTTAATTATTTTTTTTATTACTACGTGCCTTGCACGGAAAATAACTAGTTATTTTTTAAACATAAACACAACCAATATAATACCAAACATGCCCTTAAATACTATAATTTAACCCAGATTGGTCCCAACTCCCAATCGAGATGTTCCCATCTGGCGGGCCCTTTTCGGCCGAAAGTAAGGCAAAAGGCCCGTCAGTAATATGGGCCATATTGGGCCACGAACCGCTGAGGGTTGTCAAAATAAGCTACAGAACCATCCCATGGATGAAGTCCTAAAGCAACCGTGGCCCAGAAGCTGTTCGACCAGCAAATCATTAGCCCAACCTCTTCCTTTCGCGCGCGAATTCAGAACCAGCAGAACGACTTTAGTTTTGTCTCTGACGTTTCATCTGCGTTTTCTCTCAGATTTGAAGGTAAGTTTATGGCACTAGTTGTTTGCATTGAATATTTAAATGATCTATGTGTGATTAGAATTCCAGATTCTTATGAGAATTTTTGGTAATTTAGGGTTTCATATGGATCATTTATGAAACATTTTGAAATTGCACGACATATGATTTAAGCTATGATTTTGTTCTGCTTGAAAACTAACTCCCTAATTGGTTGGCTGAGGATAGGTGTCGTTGGGCAACACGACTTCATATTTGGAATGTCGTTTTGTCCAAAATCATGCATTTTGATAAATAAAACGTCGTTTTGGTGCAAAACTATGTCGTTTTGCTCAACAACACCAATGCTTAATAGCACCTCTGCGGTTAAAAAGTAATAGGAAAGGAGCTGGACCCCTATTTGGTTTGGGGTGGAGGGAAGGGGAAAGGAGGAAAACTTTTGATTTTGGGTGTATTACAATGATGCCCGTGTTTTATGCTAAGATTCTAGCTAATTATCATCTCATTGGCTTTAAATTATATAGGAAAATGTTACTTGGACTTAATTTGGGGACTTAATGATGTGCAATAATTGGATTAGCTGTGGGTTCCAACTAGCATTGGAACTCACAACTAATCCAATAGTTACATTGAAGCTACATCATTAGGTCCCCAAATAAAATCCTTAATTATATACAGATGTTTGTGTTACTGATAGGAAATTTTTTGCCTCATATTTATCTATAAGAAGTATTCATTTAGTGATTCAGATGAACAACAAAAGAAATACCCAGATCAAGAGAATGTGTTTGAACTGTAAATTCAGTAAGGACTGGGAATGAACAAATTGTAACTAATTGATGTGTTCGAGATGGTCAAATCAACTTTTTTATCATCTTCAATTGATTGTTTATATGGAAGCTGAGATTTAATGGCTGTCAAAGCCAAAAAAAAAAGTGACTGGATGAAGTGGAGAAGTGTTTTTAGGCCAGTTTGTGTATCATCGGTAAAAACAACTATGTTACACTGGCTTTTTTGTTTTCAACTATTCAACTCTATGTGGTTCCAATTGGATTAGTCGGTCTCACTGGATCCCACTAATTATTTGATGTTGTGGTTGCATCACGTAGACAGGTGACTTAAATTTTTATAAGAACAGTATTATTTATAATAAATTATTCAAGCTAATTGCATGTTTACAAGGCTAACTATGCTAAAAGCTGTGATGAATTGATGTAGACAGGCTTTGATGCTCTCACAAAAAAGCTAGAAACAGTATCTGGATGGTATTGGGTTGCCTTTTCAATTGTTTTTGCTTCTTATAGTAGTTCTTTGAATTATGAGCCACTACCAGCAGCACCTCCACCACTATTTGTCTCATTGTCTGATGTCTTGTGAGCAACACAGGGCTTGTCATGAGGCCTTCCTTCAAAGTTACTGGAGTCTGTTTCCATTAAGGGTCAGCACCACTCTGAAATATTGCTTCATTTCACCTGGTTTCATTACATGTTTGACGAAAATTTGCTTTCTTTGTAGAAGTGACGCACTAATTCTAGTACTACTGAATGTTTTCCTTCAAATTTTTCTGGAAGAATTTTTTCAATTCTCCTCTTATCCTGTCTTGATTGACTATTTTACAATTGAAGATGGTGGGTTTCTTAAAATGATTGTGGAAAGATGGTCTTGATGGTGTCTTTGATTTCTCTCTGATGGGCTGTTTTGAGATTTTATTTTCTCATATTTTGCTCCACAAGCCGCTGAATATTATGCGGCGAGAAGAACTGAAAACACGAATTTTCTTGTACTGATTTAGTCATGACTATGATGACAGTAATATTATTAACTGAGTTTGAATAACAAGGTTAGAAGATGATATTGCTCAGTTTGTTTTTGATCTCATGCAGTCCAGGTGAATGGAACCAACGTTAACATCTGTGATCCACACTAAACAGAAGAAACTTAATAATGGCAGATAGAGAACGCAAACTCTATCTCTTTTTCTCTCTCTCTAAATAAACAGCATTACTTCTCAGTAAAGCATATTTTTCTAAGGGTTGATGGATTGGTTTGAAAATTCAGCTGAGATGAGCTGCGTTGCATGGAATTTCTTCCAGATCGCACAAAGCACTAAGAGGGCTGCCAATTTGGAGATCACTGAGCATTTGGCGAAGTTCAGAGGCTTCTTCCTTGAGCCGCGCATTCTCTCGAAGGACCCTGTCGTGGTTCTCCGATGCATGATTCAACTTGTCTATCAGATTATGATTCTCAGTTGTCAGATGAACCACATGTGACCAAAGCTCATTGAGGTGCCTCTGTTTGCGCATGCGAGACCTACGTGCAGATTCGCGGTTAGAAATCATTCGCCTCTGCTTTCTTTCATCGATAACTCTAAGTTGTTGTTCCTCTGCTTCATCAGAGGTTGAGTTATTGCTGATAGACTGGGGAGAGAACTCATAAAAAGGAGGGCAGGTTTGAGAATTTGGTAAGTTGGTTAAGAATCTGCTGAAGTTGGATGATGGTATATTGTGTTGCATCAAGCCAACGTTAGTTGAAAATAGGGATGGGTTTTCGGGGGCTAGACAGTAGAGTCCTGCAGCCTCAGATTGAAGCATGGCTAGGTATATTAAGAGGCAATTCTTGAGGGTTTGATTTGCAGATAATGTTTGGAGGGTAGGGGAGGATAGCAGGAGAATTGGAGGGGATTTATAGGGGGAGAAGGGTAGAGAAGTGGGCCAGATTCAGCAACAAAGTGTAACAGTATCAGGGGATTACCAGAAAATTTGGACATCCATTGGAATAGTTCTTATAATATGTGTGATGTATGGATGTAATGATTGATTTGAGCTGTTTCTATGCAAGTTTAGGGAGAGCTACTTTATTCCAAGGTCTGGATTCTCTGTAGCTGGCCTCATGCAATCCCAAAATAAGATAAAAATCGTGCGGCCAAAATTCGATTGTAATGTTGTCAACATGTAATGTTGGGTGGTGTAATCATATCCTAATCAATTCTTGTTGTGTAAATATGTATGCTGGAATTACTGGCTAAATTTGGCCGAACTTTAGAGGATCCGAATTCATTTGTCACTCACCAAAACAACGTATTTACGTTGAGCAGGTGTAACATGCCAATAACATGGATTCATGGGGATGCATTATTCCATCACGCACATGAATTTATAGAGAATTTGTGTTGTGGATTATCATTGACCATTTATCTGATGCTTATGCAAGAGAAAAGTTTTCTGTGTGGAGTGTAATTATTTAGGTGGGGAATGTATTGGAAGAAGAAGAGAGGCAAAGCAAATGAGAAAATAGTACTAAAAGTCAATCTTCAAAAGCAATCCCCCACCCCCAACCCCCCACAAAAGCTATCAAATTTAAAAACCATATTGAACACACTCTCACCCAATTGCACTATGATAGATGATGAAAAGCAGGTGAATTAGAAAGGTGGGAATTAAATTATTAGATCTGGAATTATGATGACCATTTTAAAAACATTTTGATGACTCAAATGGCACTTCAAATTGGGAATAGAAGGGATGCACATACTAGAATAATAAAAGATAGTCTCGTCCACAAATCTTCTGCCACTTTAAGGTTTGATGATTAAATGCACGAAATATTGTCTCATGCGTAAACAGGTTATTTCTTTACTCGAACATGTAACGTTTCAGTTACAAAACACTAGTTGGATCAAGACTCAACTTTTCGACTCGTATATAAGAATGCAATCATACAAATAGTTAACATCAACGACCTAAATTCTGGTATCTTATTTTCCTTCAACTCCTGGTCTTAGATGAATTAGGAAAAAGCTACGAGTACTTGGATTAATTCTTGTTTGATCTTCCGAGTATTTCAACACAACTCTCTCCTCAGTTTTTTTATATGTTCTACTTGTCCTTTGGTTGGCTTGTTTGGTCATAGGTTTGTTTTGCTAAGACAAAGTTTATCAATGGCAATGTCAAACCTTCCACGGGTACAATTTGTCTACACCACCTAATGAGCTCCATCTGCCTACCTAGTTGTTTTATCCTCTTCTTCTCACATTGATTAGGAGAATAAGGCTACGGTATCTAAAATTAACATTTCGATACTATATTTAAAAAATAATTCTCAGTCGTAGTTATTAGTTTAAATTATTTGTAATCATTGATCATAAAAATAACAAAATAAAGTGAAAAAATGAACTTGTTTGGAGCTGACTTTTTTTAGGTGAAATGTGACGGCTTGAAAATTTTCTCAAAAAAATTAGAGTTAAAAAAGTTTACTAAAACTGTTTTAGATGTTCTTTAAAACGCTAAAAAAGTTGAAAAAAAACGTTTGAAATGACTTTATAGTTTTTTTGGCTTTTTTTTGTGTCAAAATAATAGAATAATTACATGTATATATAGATTATGTAGAATAGTTTTCAAAATATGAATTTCAAAATTTTTAAGTCATTAATAATATTTTATGAATATAATAAATTAAAATTTATGTGGGCCTTACGTCAGAACTCCAAAAACTTAAGAGGAAATCTCGTAAAATTAATTTCTTAAATCAGCTTAAATAAGTTTTTTTTTAGTCTAAAAAATTATTTTATAATCTAATAAAAAAACTACGGTCCAAACGGACCCAATAACATAATAAAATCTTTCTAAATGTCCCAAATTTTTAGGTACATTACTTACCCTTAAAAAAAATTAAATCTTTTAAATTTTAAACTCTAAAAAAAAAGTCCCAAAATATTAAGTACAACCAACATTTTTATTATAATAATTTGGGTCCATAATTCAATTCATAACATTAAAAATATAAAAATCATAAGTTAAAAAAATAAAAAGTATTCAAAAGTCAACTCATATTTACCTATACTCTCTCTCTCTCTGTAAAAATTAGAACAAAACATTAAAAAAAGTTAAAATTAAACTCTCTTTCTGATAAAAAACAAAAATAAAAGTTAAAATATTTTTTTCAATAACACTAACAAATCTTTATTCGGTCTCTCTCTCATATAATAAATTGAAAATAAATTAATTTTTTTTAAAAATTAATATTAAAAATAAAAAAAATCTCATTTAGTATTTTCGCTTTAAGCCTCTAATTACCTTAAGCCACCCAGATTGTGTCATAGGAAAAAAATAATTAACAGTTTGTGTTGACCTATCGGGTTAACAGGCACAGGCTGTCCATGTCCCCTAAATGGTGGGACACCCCGATTCATGACCCAATTGTGAATTGCCCATTGTGTTTGGGTCAACCCGTGGGCTAAGGACCATTAACCTAGTCTTAATTTATTCATACCTAACAAAGGATTAAATACAATAAGGGTAACCAACATTTTCATAGCCTTTATCAGATTAGAAGGTGCTAGACATTATTCTTCCACTAAGCATCGATGTTCAGAACATTGTGTCACTCATCTTTCATGCGGTTTTGCCAAACGGTCCTAAATCCATACTTTTCTGTCCCTCTCTTGGTTTTTAAATACTGAAACAACCAAACATGAAACATCCTTGTACCATTGTTCTTTGTGCGAGAACTGGAATATAGGTACGGTGTCACTGAGAAAGGGACCCACTAGAAGAGGTCGTATTTGGTCCAAACAATACGTTCCGGGTTCGATCATGAGTCCCAAAAATAGAGAAAATGTTGTTTACTGTTTATCTTTCTCGGACCACCTGGCAGAAATATTGTGCTTGTGTACAACCAGACTTTTACTTACATTAACTGGGGGTAGTTTAAGTAGGACTAGGGGCGAATTGTAAATCAAAATGTCATGAATTTGAATTTTGGTCGGAGATGATCTCAAATATTTTGGGGCTTAAAACGGAAATAATAAATAAGGTTTTTTTAAATATTAATAATAAATTTATTTTTATTTTTTAAAATACAAAAAAATTAATTAAATTTTTATATTTAAACTTTTGTTAACCTAGTTGAACTTGATGAAAAGAGAGAGAGGGAGAGAGAATGATTAAAAAATTATAATGATAAACCTGAATTTGACTTTTTTTTGAGAGGATAAGACTTCTTTTAGTAACTTTAGTTTTAATATTAGCTTTTTGCTTTTTGTTTTCAAAAAATTGAACTTTAAGGCATTTTAATTTTCATGGGGTGAATTAATAGGCCAAATTCATTCAGATTGAAATATTTTGTTTGAGCTCAAATCTAAGTTTTGTATGGACCTATTTCTTATAAATTTAGATTTTTTATTTAAACTGTTATTACACCGTTAAAAATTATGGGACCTTCTTTAAAACAGAGCCTAAATTCCGGGTTTCATTGGCCAGGTAGTTGGGCCGGCCTTGATCTTGACAATTTCTCATACTTTGTATAGTATGATGAAAAACTAGAATGATAGAAAGTTAGAATGATAAAAAGTTAGAGGGATAAATAAAATATAATTTTTGGTGAGGAAGGAAAATATGAATGATGGATTAACTTTCCTTCCAACTCACCAAAATCAATCCTTCCAAAATTAGAAGGAAAGTGGATGAAAAATTAATTATTTGTATTAAGATATATCTTATTTGTCTATATATTATATATATATTAATTTCATATAAAAATACAATGATAAAATATATATATAAAATAATTTTAAAATAAAAAATATAAAATATAAAAAATAACAAAAATTTGAAATAAAAAAAATATTTTTTTCATCTTAACTAGAAGTAAAAATTTTTAACTCAATATAATGATACGACTCGAATTCGACACGAATTTTATGATACGAACTTGATAATAATTTGACATGAACTTCAAAATGACCTGACACGAGAATAAAAAATATAAAAGACTCATAATTTTATAATTCAACACGAATCTGACACGATACAACTCGATTGTCACCCCTAATCTTAGCCAACACAAAAAAAATTAGTCATTTTTATTTTCCATCCATCCAATCAAACATAAAGGAAAGAAAGTGTATCATTCCTACTTTCCATTTTTAAAGGATAGAAAATGTATCCCTCCTACTTTTTATTCTTCCTACCGAATGGAGCATTAAGGTCAGACCATAAGAGATTTATCGCTCATGAATAACCTAGTCTTGACATAAATGGTCTGTCTTTAATCAGATCAAAAAAAAGATTAATCGAGGTGCAGTTTATTGAACCTAAAAAAAAAAAAAAGACTTTTACTTACATTTGTTGGCATTCCATTTGTACCTACGCCCACTAGCAATATGATGTGCAAAGATGTAATAATTAAAGAAGTATTGGAGTTGGATTAGAATTGTGTTGGAAAATTTCCGAGGCAGAAACTTGCAACCGCATATGTTTCATGCTATTTGGTAATAGAGTTGTGTATTTTTAGTTTAGTTTATTCCCCACTAACAAAATTTCTCTGTGGTGCAATTCAAAGGTTGGATAAGAACTAGGAAGAACTAAAGAACAAGGCTTCACGCAATCCATTTAAAAGGAAAAGTGAATTACATACTCAGACGTCTTCCACCAAGGGATGACAGTGAATTGGGGCGCCTTCCACCTAGGGATGACAGTGAATTGGGGTGCAACATGGGACTAGTCTTCATTCTATACCTGTTTCAAAAATATTCGTTTACCCACTATCCACTCTCATTAGTGGAGGAAATTTTAATTTTAATCTCTATTCTGCAGATAAATTTTGATAACTATACCCATCACCGTCTCCACACATAACAATTAATTTTTATGATTGTAAGAAAAAAATTAAAAAAAAACCCATAAAACCTCATTAATAGAGCTGCAAAGAAAGATGAAAACTCATTATATAAC